TTTTAATTAGGCCAATTAATTTATGTGTAAAGTAAACAAGCATTCCAAACTTAGAATATTGATAATGTCGTTCATTAAACGTTTAAAAACATTTGAATAGTAAAGTGCCTAGTGCAGTTTAGGGTCAGAGATTCCTGAGAGTCACGTGCAGCAGCGCAATCTGATCCTTGGTTGCTCATTCATTCACGGACAAAAACAGAAAAGACCATTTGTAGAATTGAAGAAATTCAAACCTTTCTAACCATGCTATATTTTTTTTTATATCATTTTAGAATCTATATCCTATAGTAAGATCGGCTATAAAAAAATAGTAATATTTTACCACACAGTAAGTAAAATTGTTTTTACATATTTATGGTTTAATACATACTGTCTGGAACAAAACCTGCATATGTCTTATCTTAGTCATTAACAATTTTTTTTTTTAAAATGCCAAAACTTAAGACATAAAAACTGAGCTTAATAAGTTTAGAAAAAGTGTGTGAGCAACTACTGCCACCTGCTGTTATAGAGAGCGGCTGTAAGGCCCAGGGGGGAAAAAGGACACACTTTTTCAGGTCCCAATCCCAAAGTGTACGAAGGTCTAAACATAATATAAAAATATGTAAATATAAAAAGTGAATTCTCCCCTCAGATGGGAGGACTATAGTGGAGGTGAGGCAAAATTTGTCACATAACCAATGCACACACAAAAAAAGAACTAGGGCAGTGCAAATATTAATTGTGATTAATCACATCCAAAATAAAAGTTTGTGTTTACATAAAATATGTGTGTGTGTGCTGTGTAAAATTATTTTTTATAAATAAATACATGCATGCATGTATAGATTTAGCAATTATTTGCACATAAATACTGTATATATATAAATACAATCTATGTTATACATAATATAAATATTTTATATACAACACATTCTCTTAAATATATACATGCATGTGTGTGTGTATTTATATATACAAAATATTTATACACAGCATACACAAATATATTATGAAAACACAAACTTTTATTTTGGATGTGATTAAATCGCAATTAATCTTTCCACAGCCCTAAAAAAAATAACACCCACATCAAAATGTGACCACTTTTCTGATAAATACACTAACAAGAGGCATCCCATATCATCAGAAATTAATCAGGATTAATTATGACAGGAAAGTCAATGTGGGCCGAAATTCTTCGCAGCAGGGCATCCTTATTGACCATTCTTTCCCTAAAATATGCCTCTGCTGTAAAAACTGGCTGCAGAATAATCACACAGTCATCACATTTACCATTTTTATTTAAGTCTAATGTTTTGTACAATGCAAATATATACATATAAAGCTCATGCCTTTTTCTCTTCTTGTGGCAACAATTCATCGATTTTGATGTGCAAACCTTCACTCGACCTACTGCAGATAATTGCTCGGTCAATAAATGGACCTGGAAGAGAATACATTTATTCAAGTAAAAGAATATGAGTTCCACCAATGTTAAATCTATTGTAGGGAGCATGGACATGGTAACAAACATGTAGTCCTCATAATTCTGTAGTTTTTAAATGTTCAAAAGGAATTCAGCCTTGGCATTTGCTCATGGTTGGAATAAATTGAACGTATACTTAATAAATGAATTACTTACCAAATTCTGTTGGTTTATGGCTTGCCACATCTTTTACAATGGCATGAATGTTTTCCAAAATACACTCCTTAGGCATATCCAGCTGTTTAACAAACCAAAATGAGTTAACAGTTGTAAAAAAATAAATAAAAAAAAACACAACAAGTCATAGAAATGAAAATAAGCAGAAATCAAATGCTCACGCTTACTTTATTATATATAGATAGAAATGTCTGTCACCCAAAGTAGTTCAATGTGACTTACTGTTGCAACTTGTGTGTTAACATAGATGTCCTCCACCATATATTCATGACCAGTCTTGAACAATGCAATCATTCTGGGTATATTTATTCCAACAGATCCTGATGCAAGAAACAACACAAGAATCCAATTGAACCACTATTTAGTTGTACATTAATAGACCATGCCTGTTACGTGACATGGGGAAACTCACTGACCTCTTTTGCTCTTGGGAAACTTCTTCCTCAGCTTGTTCTTCAAAGGAAGCAGCTTTTGTAGAATGTCTGGCTCAGCCAAGTAGAAATCTGCTGTGATCTCATCAACTAAAATCTGTAATTACCATTGATTAAAAGGCACATAAAGTAAATGAGCAATTGAAAAAAAAAAAAAAATCAACAATGCTCTTTTCAATAAATGATTACTGCTAAAGCAAAAACATTGGCCATTTTTGTTTGAACCCCTTCTAAAAAAGTTTTTTTTGTAAAAAAAAAATAAGACACTCAAATAGCATATGTAGGCGTTAACCTTCTCAGCCAACAAGTTTTCATGAGCTTTACCTTCTCAATCAGTTCTGCTCCACCTGCAACTGTTGCTCCATTATCCATCGCTATTCTGGCTTGATCTGGATTCTGTAAAGCCATAACTCTAAAATTAATGTATGTAACCTGAAAAGTCTCCTGAATTGAAGTTGTAAATACTTATCTAATTGATTCAGTCTGACACCAAACCACAGGGTGATGCTCTCACCTCAGTGAAAACCACTATTCTGTTGTTGTCCGACTTGAAGGGATGTGGTAAGTGAATTATGCTAACAAATGGATCCACTTTTTTCTGAAACAAAACAAATTGAATTTCATTAAGGTATAATGGTCCGTTTAAATATAATTGTTTGTTGCAGTTATAGTGATGAAATGTTTCTGCAACCCTGCTAAGGAGAAGTATTTTTCACCCAGTTAACTCAAAATAACATTGTTTCTAGCTCATTGAACCTATTTAATTTAAAGTGAACCATCACAAGAAAAGGCAGACTTTTGCATTAGTCACATATTACGTATTTTAGTACCCATTTTGACCACTAGCGGTCACTCTTACAGACTGCACTTTTAATTGCACCTTTATTATTTTAAGCATTATTACTTCATCAAAATTTAATAAATCAAATCACGCAAGATGTACCTTTTTCTCCAGCTTCATGTCCAGACGTAGATTAATGTACACAGGCTGGTTTTCAGGACTGAAGTCCAGTTTCTGAAAGTTCTTGAGCATTTCAATGGCCACAGGTGTCTCAAAGACAGGTTTTGGATAGTATCTCACCATGTACACATCATCTACTGGAGCCCAGTATGTGAGTCCATATGGTTTATGCCTGTCTTTGTCATCAACCTTTTTTTTCTCTTTCACCACCTTTTCTTGAACCTTCTCCTCTTTCTTCTCTTTCTGTCTACAAAAAGAGTTGATGAATAACATGACTCCACTTTGCATACGTTTTTGCATGGTTTCAGAATTTCAAAATTTCAGAATTTCATTAGACAAGCTTCACCAAGGTAAAGACTAAATCGTGTAAACGGAACTTACTTGGTAGCAGCGTAGGATCTTACATGCTGATGTCTGTTTGCAGTCAGTGAGTTGCAGGAGACAGAAGGAGCTCTGCATGTGAAGAACAAACTCTGACACCTGGGTAATACTGTGATGGAAACAAGACACATGAGCATAATAGAATTAAAATGAGTCAACTGATTTATATTAATGGTTACAGTAACTAATTACTTAATAGTAACTAGACTGAAGGGAGTGGATCTAAAGACTGGCCACTAGGCAGCTTTCTTGCAAAATGTACCATGCTGGCCAAAGTTTTCATTAAGATACCATAGTTATTACTACCAGTAGTTGTCACTGTGTGTAGCCATTACTTACTGCCATCAATTATTGGCTACCATGGCCATTTAATGTTACAATTTAAAAGACATGTGGCTTCTTTCTGTTTAATCAATCCAAAATAATGCATCTAATATATATTAAATACTATTATGTATCCTTTTGACAGACACGCTGCATAAGTTCACATTTAAACATGCATAACTATAAGACATCGTGGGAAAACTGTTAGCTTGTGTAACTTAGATGTTGTACGATCACCTCAAGTATTCTGCACATGGCAGCTTGCATGTTATTAATCTGAAAACGCATCGGAATAAACAGAATATAACTAAAATAATATGTAATGCTTAAAACTGACCTCTTAAAAGACTCCTGGAGGAGGCAGCCATGTTGACAGAATTGTGTGTTACACTTAAGTTTTCCGTCTAAATCATCAACCACCGTTTAAGCGTTCCCACTCTGTGATATGTGGTGCGCTTCTAGATTTGGTAAAATATTGTTTCTATACATGCGCTATATAGATACGACAACAAACAGCTGATACGCTCATCACATAATGCCTTTCTTGTCCATCATCAATTATGCCCCATATATACAAAGAACATCTCTGCATGAAATACACAAAAAGTAAAGGTAAAAATGTTATTGCAAGTTCTTCTTCATAGCAGGTTTATTATAAATTTGCCTCTGTATGAATACGAATCTATGTTTTTAAAATGCATAGGCCTACTATGATAAAAATAAAACTGTATACAGTGTATTATTGCAAGAGCACAATCTCCACTCCTCTCACTGCAAGCTGTATTTTAGAGAGGTTGCGAGTAAAATTGCACGAATTTCACTTTGAGGCGGATGAATTGCACTTTGAGGCGGATGAATCAATGAATCGATTGATCCAAACTACTTGTTTATGAATCGTTGGTTCTTGATTCACCAATTATTGAACGGAGAATCACCTTTCCGACCAGTTCGATTCGAGCATTTGGGACTAAATGAGGGTTTGACTAACTGGGTGAAAAAAATAAGTTAATAAACCAAATAATTTACGAAACGTTTTATTACGTACAAAAACACAAAAAAGTTTTTGAAAACGAATATATGGACTACATATAAATTTATAAACAATCATTATAACCACATTATAGATTTTTTTATTATTATTTTTTTATCAGACCTTGTGGAATGTGTGACGTTGGACCACGTGAGTGACACAATTACGTAATGTCGTAAATAATACCCAAATCTTGTTTTTTTGGACCGATTCTTTTGAAGTTAACTGTTCGAAAGAACCGATTCGCATAAATGAGTCGGACTTCCTATTGCTAGTTGTAAGCAAAGGTTGTAAGGGGACCGTTGACTGGAGCGGAAGCTCAGAGTGTTGTCCTTCCTTCTGCCCGACTCTCAGGATGAGGATCGGTCACAGTTTGTCTGTATGTCTCTGATCATATCACACCAGCAGCTCCTCTCCCATCTCCCGAATGCAGGTAAGAGTCTTAGTCCTGCATTCCGGCGTGCTGATTTTCTGTTGTGTGTATTGTTGGGTGTCAAATATGCCTGACGTCTCCAGGCAGCTCTACCTCCAGAAGATCAGACGAGGAGAAGGTGTGTTCTGTAACTTAATAAACACGAGAAAACAGTGTTTCAACCTATTACACGCCACAGATTCTCCTGATTTATTTATGACCGTATTTGGTGATGACGAGGAATGTCGGAGGAGTTGGTGGCACAGCCAGATCTGCTGCTGCTTTTCTTGTTGTGGTTGTCTCCTCTCCAACAAAACTTATTTCATGTAAGCTAACGTTAACTTAAATCACACAGGCCACCACTTTTTTGACATGGCAATAATAGCTAATAATAATATATCCTTACATAACACAAACCCCGCCGTTTGAGTGGTTGACAACAACTAGTTACTGAGTCGTTGACTCGCTGTTACATACGACGTTGTTGAAGGCATATTAAATAGTAAGTGCAAGTAAGATTCATTCAGAAGTCAGAACTTATGTTCTTGTTTTATTCACGGAAGTAACTTCAAAGAGCAGGTTACGTAACGCCACAGCTGTCATTATCGTGACCCACCATTATAGTTTGCATATTAAACGCCATAGTGTTCAGTCAAATAACTTTTTGTGTCACATGACATGACTATATACACACAGAGAAGACGGGCTCTCTGATACACACAGCGTTGAGTGACAGAACTCACAATACATACATTGAACAGTATGCACTGTGTACACATAATGTACAATGTACATGTACGTAATATAAAATACAAAATTTAATAATTATATATATATATATATATATATATATATATATATATAATGAAATATACACCCATGCTGGAGTACTAACTGCAGCAATATACAATTGGTCTGTGTGACAAACTGATATATGATATCTAGTCCAGAGTCCAGTAAAATTAATAAAGTGTTTGAAGTTCTGCATGTAAAAAAGAAAGAACATTCAAAAGAAGGATATGTTATACCCAAACAGATCTTTGGCAGTTTGGCCATCTGCTTTTGTGTGTAACAGCTGCGACTTACTGTAATGATTACAGCGCGGCGCATGTTCTTTCTATACAAGACAAATAAGGGCCTGTTCAAAAGCTCTTGCTGGTGGTTCTACCTATTAATAGTGTCTTGTGTGAAAGTGCTCTTTTGCTTTCATTTTTTTACAGCTGAAAGGGATTGATAAGAAACTTCTGCGACGTCTCCAAAGTTCAACTAAGTTAAACTCTGTCAGTGCCCTAGATTGCCATTATGTTTTGGCTCAGCATGAGAGATACTGTATCAACTACTCAAACATTTCAGTGTAAACATCAAGTGTCTGTCTCTCAGTAAGCACTCAGGATTGCTCACGCTGGTTTGTATTTTAGAATATATTATTCAAAAGTTCGGGGTCAGCATTTTTTTAAAGGAATTAATACTTTAAGGATATATTAAAATGATCAAAAGTGACCTTAAGACATTTATAATGTTACATCACATAACTGCTTTTTCTTTTGAACTTTCTATTCATCAAGTTTAAGTTTCTATTAATCCTGAATAAATGTACCCTGGTTTAGCAACAAAATCATTTTTAACACTTGAAATAAGAAATGTTTCTTGAGCACCAAATCAGCATATTATAATTATTTCTGAAGGATCATGTGACACTGCAGACTGGAGTAATGATGCTGAAAATATAACTTTACCATCACTAGAAGAACACATTTTATATAACACAATTGTAATATTTCATAGTATTGGTTTTACTTTTGGAGAGAATAAGAAACATATTTCAAAAACATTTAATAAAAAAATCTTACCAACCCCAAACTGTTGAGCTATAGTGTAGATAATATGTCGATATTTTACAACCTTACTTAGTGACTGACTACATAGTGTTTTTCTTTATTATGCTTTATTTTAAAATCAGCTTTAAGCAATTCTTAACCATTGTCAGAAAAAGGTTTCCTTTGCACAAGTAAAAGGGCTTGTTTGTTTCTGATTTACATCATGTACTTACATAATGTTAGTGTGTCTAAGGGCGGTCAGTTTGGTCTGAGGCCTTGGTCACTGGCCCTGGCCCAAATGGAACACTTCATATGCACTTTCGGTCTTGTGGACTTACAATGGTTGCCGCATACACAGGTCTGTTAAGTACATGAGACTTTGTCATTTTAGGTTTCAGAAGGGTGCTCACCAGCACCCCCTTTGTGGTCAATATTCACCCTCGATGCGCACTTTTGCCGAGCATGCACTGATGCGAGCTCTGCAGCAGACTTTATGTCATGAAAGTCCCGACTCTCAAATGCTTAGGGTGCCATTTGAGACAGGGCCACTCTCACAACGTTTAGATTACAGTTAAACTGCCAGCTGACTCATAAATCAGATTTTTCAACTTTCTATCTGTTTCTTATGATTCACACAAATATACAAATTCATACAAATATTTGTTTTTTGTGAAAAGACATACTGTAAATAAGAGAAATAGTGATGAATCATATATTTTCTGTGTGAATTTTCAGATTAACAGGCATGCCAAAGGAAAAATATGATCCTCCAGACCCACGCAGATTATACACCATCATGTCAGCCGAGGAAGCGGCCAGTGGGAAGAAATCATATTGGACCGAGTTGGAGATATCTGGTTAGTTACTTCTTCAATCTTATTCCTCAACTCATAAACTCGTAAAATCAACTTATTTAAAAACAAATTGCCTCTGAAGGAACACTGTCAAGATAAATTAATGAATAAACCACTTAAGTGAAACATGAAAACCTACTTCTACAGAACTACTAAAAAGTTGTTTTTGTTCTAAAGTGACTTCTCGTGCTGAAGATTTATCAGTGTGTGTGTTCTCTGGGATATTTGGTGAAAAAAAAAATGTTTGTCACAAACTCTGTCTGTGCTCCTGTGTTACAGGGCGAGTCAGAAGCCTGAGCAGTTCACTATGGACGCTGACCCACCTGACTGCTCTCCACATCAACAACAACAACCTGAGCCGGATTCCCCCTGAAATCGCAAAGCTGCCCCATCTCGTCTACCTGAACCTGTCCTCCAACAAACTGCGCAGCCTGCCAGCAGAACTTGGCAACATGGTGACTCTCAGGTGCGTTTTAACAAATCGGTCCTTCACTATGAGGTCCTGTCAGACTGAATGCAGCCTCCCAGCACATGCAGGTTCTTAAAATCAATAGTCATTAATATAAAAAAAAGAACAATTTTCCATAAAAATAGAATTAGGATGTGACTCAGAGGGCTTATTACTCTATTTAAGGTCAAATGTCTAATCAAAAGACCTTTGTTTATTTCACTTTGAACGATTTTATTCAGTTACACTAAACATGGTAACATGTTTTCTACTGTGTGTATTTCAAGGGAATTGCTTTTGAACAACAATTGTTTACGAGTTTTGCCTTATGAACTTGGTCGGCTGTTCCAGTTGCAAACCCTCGGCCTCAAAGGTGAAGCTTTCTTTAAGGTTTATATGTGCAGAACAAACATGCAAATTTTGAATTAGGTCTGAGAACAATATTTCTTTTGCAGGTAATCCATTGTCCCAGGATATACTCAACCTGTATCAGGAGCCTGATGGAACACGGAAGTTATTGAATTACATGCTTGACAATCTTGCAGGTAATAACGGACACAGGTACATATTGGCTTATTAATACAGTACACATGTTATTCATTTAATTGAGTTATTCATTTGACTTACTTCAACTATTTCCATTCCCAAAATTAGTCCACCCTGAACAACTTCCCCAAAGACCTTGGATCACTTTGAGGGAGCGAGACCAAATGATGCCCACAGGTACATATTTTGCATCCCTTTTGAAAAGCCTGATTTAGCAACCGCAAAGCTAATATTAAATCTCTGTGTTCTCAAGCTGTGTTCACAGTAATGTGCTACAATGTGCTCTGTGACAAGTATGCTACAAGGCAGTTGTACGGCTATTGTCCGTCATGGGCCCTTAATTGGGAGTACAGGAAGAAGGGCATCATGGAGGAGATCACTAACTGTGATGCTGACATCATCAGCCTGCAGGTGCATATCCACAAAATGAAGCTCACAAAATCTACAAAATATACACTACTGTCCAAAAGGTTGGGGTCTTTAAAAGAAGTGTTTGAAACAGTAATTTCAAAGATTTTAATATGACTGTATTGTATTTTAATATCATTTTATATTGTCTTTTAATTGTAATTTATGTGATGGCAAAGCTTATTTTTCAGAATCATTACTTCAATACATTACAGTCTTATGTGTCACATGACCCTTCAGAAATCAGTCTAATATGCAGATTTGGTGCTAAAGGAACATCTCTAAGTAATATAGCTGCAAGTAGCAATGATAGGCCCAAGCACCAGTGCCACCGCCACCCCAGTGGCTTTAGGACAACTGTGCACGGTGTGCAATGTGCATTTAAAGCGGGTAAATATAAAATAAATACATCAAAATCGTTTGAATACGCTTTTCAAAATCGTTTGAATACGTTGAATAGATAATATTTACTGCAGGCAACTGGTGCCACTATGACCATGAACCACAACAGCCACATCAATTTAAATTTAGATGTATTTCATGTCATAGGATGTTATAGGTCACTTTCAAATGAGTTCGAAATTATCATTTGCAGCTCACAATTTTTTTCAAAGTCCAGAAGCATTTCCCTTAAGGTCTTTTTATATTATTATCAACCTAATTATTAAACAAAACTATGTTGTCACTGACAACTAGAAATTAACTGGATCTATGCCTTTATTTTGTTATTCAAATTAATTGAAAAAAGACAAGGCCTGAGATATTTCTTATCCATTAAAAGGCTTCATGCTGACCGAGTTTGATGATGATCGGTTGAATCCGCTAGGAGGAGTACATCAAATTCTACAGCATGCATTTTTCAAACAACCCATTAAAGTCAACTTCCTTTTGGGCTGGCTTATGACTATGAGCGTGAAAGTTGTTTGGCTTGATCAGATCTATAAATGTATGAAATTTGGTTAATGCAAGTAAAAAGGGTTGTACTACAGAGCCCCTCAAATACAACAATATACAAGGGTATGCCACAGAGCCCCCTATAGCAACTTGTGCCCGGCCCTGATAGCTGGCTATTCTAATGTGTGAGTGTGTGTGCAAAGTTTCCTTTTGGTGCCCAAAAAGTAAAAAAAAAAAATATATATATATATATATATGAAGAGTTCAGATGCAAAAGTCTCTAAGTGCCATTTGAAATTTTCTTCTAGAATGATCATTTTTATCAAGCTTATTTAAGTTCAGTGATTTCACTTAAATGGCAATGATAATTACCTATTAATTGTTATTTAAGTGAAATTACTGAACTTAAATATACAAGTTTGATAAAAATCATCATTAAAGAAGAAAATTTCAAATGGCATTTAGATGCTTTTGCATCTGAACTCTTCATATATTAGTTTAGGAAAACAATTGGTCCCTCAGGGTTTGGGCCCTTATTGTCAATGTTAAAAACATTTTGGAAACCGTGGTCTAAACAGAGTCATTTTTTTTTCTTTTTTTTTAGAATTCCTTGAGCAGAAAATTCAAAAGAACAGCATTTATTTGAAATATAAATATTGTATAACAATGTAAAATTACTTTATTGTCGCTTTTGATCTTTTTTGTATGTTCTTTGCTGGATAAAACATTTTTACAGACCCCCGAACCTTTGAATAGTAGTGTAATTTATATTATGGTTAATGAAAATGTGGGTTTTTTTTCCACAATAAACAAAGCTAAATTATTACATATGCATTGAAACAATAGATTTCCCTTAAAGTTTGTATGGTGCTTTTGATGTCTGCAGTGGTTTACACTTCGTCTAATTCATGTGCAGGAGGTGGAAACAGAGCAGTACTACACTTTCTTTCTGGAAACACTGAAAGAGCGTGGATATGATGGCTTTTTCTGTCCAAAGTCTCGTGCCAAACTCGTGTCAGAACAGGAGCGTAAACATGTGGACGGCTGTGCTGTTTTCTTCAAGACTGAGAAGTGAGTAACCCCTTCCATCTTTTACAAGGTTTAAAGTGAATTGACATCCAGCTCATTTTGTGCCCCTTTATTATTTTCTAGATTCGCTCTGGTGCAGAAAAACACAGTGGAGTTCAATCAGGTTGCCATGGCAAATTCAGAGGGCTCAGAGGTTATGCTAAACAGAGTCATGACCAAAGATAACATTGGAGTAGCTGTCTTGTTGGAAGTGAAGGAAGACCTATTTACTAGTGGTAAGGACATTGAATGATAGCTCTGTTATTTACATTAAATAGCTCCTGATTTCCTCTTCTTCACACGCTGCTGTTTAGCCTCGTCCTGTAGATGGCAGTAGATCTCAAAGTTAAAAATGTGTACCTGAGATGACCATAATAATTACTGTCTTTGAAAATAAAGTAGAAGCAAAAAATTCGTATCCATCCATTCAGTTATCCATCTATAAGACATTGATTGCTACCTGGATGTTAAACACTTAAAAAACATCAATAATAGCATGTTTTAGAAGATAAAACAATTCAATTATAAAACATTTATGGCAGTCAAAATTTTGTTACGCAAAAAGTTGGCTTATGTGGTGGTCTGATTCACAGAATTATAGTCTGTGGTTGTGAAATTTATTGCTAGTTTGTTTTTCAATGATAACACTACATGTCCTTCACACAGCTGAGTACAATTCAATTTATTCAGCGTGCATTCTTTTGAAATATGACAAATTTAACAGTCTTTTGGTCTGCCATAGTCTTTATTTGTTCATAAATATACGTGTCAGCAGTGTTTCAGATAAGACCCAGGGTCTTCTGATATTTTTTTGTGAAATGATTTTACAATATTTTGTGTTTTCAAATGATTGCGATATAGATTGCACTTTCAAAACAGAGTTTCCTGTTTTCACTGTGTTTCAGAGTTTTTCCTGTTTCAATGACCTTGATAATAAAATATCTTATTTTAGATGTTACGTGGTTTAGTTCCAAATCTCAGTAATTAAAGGAGGAAGCTCCAATTCCTCCTCTTTATTGAAGTATTTTCGTCCCATTTGCTTTAGTGGTGTTATGTTGCAGGTTTAAAGCAGCCTCCAGAGAAACAGCTCCTGCTGGTAGCTGATGCCCACATGCACTGGGATCCAGAGTACTCCGATGTGAAGCTCATCCAGACCATGATGTTCCTGTCTGAGCTAAAAAGTATCGCTGAGAGGGCCTCGGGATCCATCAACTCTGCCTCGCCCACGTCAGACACCAGCTCCATCCCTATCGTCCTGTGTGCTGACCTCAACTCCCTCCCAGACTCTGGTGAGTTATATTTGGAACTGCTTGCTTATTAAAGATAAATTATTAGAAAGAATGGGGAACACACATGTGCAGTCTGTATTGTGTAAGTAAGTTCTTATTAAGAAGATAAATTATTAGAAAGAATGGGGAACACACATGGGCAATCTGTATTGTGTAAGTTCTTATTAAGAGTGTGTTCACACTTGGTATGTTTGGTATAAATAAAATGAACTCTGGTGCTATTGCTCTGGTTCATTTAAATAAGTGATAAGTGTGAACTTTTGAAAAGGATCGTCTGAAATATGAACTACAACTTCAAGCACAGAAGGGAAAATATATAATTGGCCTTTCCGTTCCTTACATTAGGTTAAAACTACATTTGCCTGCTATGATATTAGAGGGACAGTTCATCCAAAAATTACAATTGTCATCATTTACTCAACTTCATGTCGTTGCAAATCTATATGACTTACATTCTGTGGAACATGAAAGAATATATTTTGAAGAATGTTGCTAACCATTGACTTCCATTGTATTGACAAATATCACCGAGACATTTTGCAAAATAATATCTTTTATGTTCCACAGAAGAAAAAAAAATGACAAACAGGTTTGGGATGACATGAAGGTGAGTAAATGATGACAGAATTTAAAATTTTGTGTGAACTGTCCCTTTAATCCCCTGAGGTCGAGTAATGCGCCGCCACATTATGCTGTTGTTTTTCACATAGCTGCAACATGGACTTAAAATACTCCATCATTAAAATCAATACATGATTATAAACTATAGAGGGTCTTTTTTTTTTGTGTACACTCTTATTAACATCAAAACCTTGTTCTTTTGTAAAATAAACAGGGTGCGTTTTCAGCTCACTCTGTCTCCGCAAAATTCTTTCTGAAACGTGTACGAAAAATATAACCCAATTCACAGTTTTATGTGAATGATTAGGCAGGATGTTTTTCAGATCATTATGAAGAAAAATACTCCAGGCCACAACATCCATTAGTCAAAAGTATTGTGGACGCATATTTCGTATGTGTTTTGTGGCCTTATTTCAGAAACTTTCATTTTTTGTTTTTTCAATAACCACGCATAAACAATATTCTCTCAAAAACATGTATATAAACTTTGCTCACATATTATGGTAGCCCTGTTTCTGCTAAATATAGTGTAATTTCACCTGTGCCATTAAAAGGTTTATAAGCAACTGAAAAAAGCACAAATGTCTAGGCATCTCAAAACATCTCAAGGACCCCAAATGCACCCTAGACCTCAGAGGGTTAATGACATTGCTAAGAAAAATAATGACTTCAACTTTTGCCTAAGTCAGATTTGGTATGAAGCCCTTGCCTCGGCATCACTAGGTTTGCTGGCTTTTCCTCACAGGTGTGGTGGAATATCTGAGTAGTGGTGGAGTTGCAGAAAATCACAAAGACTTTAAGGAACTGCGATACAGTGATTGTTTAACCAACTTCAATTGCAACGGTAAAAACGGCAAGCCTGATGGCAGTATCACGCACAGTTTCCAGCTGAAGAGTGCCTACGAAGGGAATCTCATGCCCTACACCAACTACACTTATGACTTCAAGGTGAGGAGATTCATAATTCAGAGATATTTCTATTCTTTTTTGTTACACTTTGTTTTAAGGTGACATAGTTGCATTGTACTTACTCAAATAAGTACTGAGTAATATTAATTAACTACATGTATTTTCTATACAATTACGGTTACTTGTAATTATGCATTATTTACTGTTATTACTATACTAAGTCACCTTTTTACTCAAAACGGGAATAGAGAATATAGGGTTTTGGGTATTTTCTATGTAAGGGCTCTAGAAATGGCAAAAAAATGAAACATTTTGTAGCCAAACGTCTTTTTGATTGACAAATTGCAGAATTAGGTCAGTGAGGTTGTTCAGATGTGCTTTAATTCATTGAGTTCATAGCTTTTTGCTATTTTTCTTTAGAATACACTTATTGGTAACACTTTACAATAAGGTTCATTAGTTAACTACATTAGTTAACATTAACAAAGAATGAACAATACTTCTTCAGCATTTGTTAATCTTTGTTAATGTTAATTTCAACATTTACTAATACTTTTGAAAAATCTTGTTAACATTAGTTAATGTACTGTGAACTAACATGAACAATGAACAGCTAGATTTGTATTAACTAACGTTAACAAAGAATAACAAATACAGTAACAAATGGTTAGTTCATGTTAGTTAATACATTAACTAATGTTTAATAAATGAACCTTATTGTAAAGTGTTACCCCATTATTTATCATAGAACACCATTTTTCATTTATTACAACAAAACTCTGAATGTTTAATTGTCATTAAGTCAGTAAATAGTCTCACAACATCACAATAAATGTTCCTGGTTCATTTAAAAAAAATGACTTATGGTTCACGTCAAGAAAGTCAGTAACGACTCTGAATGATTCACTGACCAAGTGAGTCTGATTCAAACCTCAACCTTTTGACTGACTCTTAAAAAGACTTGGTTCATTGGAGTCATTCGTTATTGAATCGTGTCTCGCTTTGTTATTGTATTGCATGGAAACCAGGGTACTGGCTGCGTTTGGGCTCCTGAGTTTAAATTATATAGCGCAAATTATAATTTTTCTTTGTTGCATTAGTGCCCTTTTTTTAAAAAAAAAAAAAAAACCTGTTTCCTTTTCTTTTTTTGAAGGGTGTGATTGACTACGTCTTCTTCTCTAAGACACATATGAGTGTTTTGGGGGTTCTGGGTCCACTGGAGACTCAGTGGCTGAAGGACAACAACATAACGGGCTGCCCACACCCGCACATCCCCTCCGATCACTTTTCCCTCCTGGCTCAGCTGGAGTACCACCCGCCTTTACCCCCCCTCAACGGGCTGCATCTGCCTGTCCACAGGTAGTGCAGCCCGCATTCCCTCACTCTCCTAAACCCCAAATCATGGACAAACCCCAATCATGAGCCCCTAAAACTATAGGCACACACATTAAGGAGTGAAGTACTCCCCTACTTTGCTCCTTTTTTTAACCTTTGCACACGATTGTATGATCTTATTATTACATTTTCCAACTTGAAAACAAAAGCTTAATACCAAACTAGGGTTGGGATTCTCTGTTTGGTTCAAAACAAATGCTGCTTTCAGGGAAATTGATCCATTTGTCTGAATCTGAATGTGAGATTATAAACCATGTGTCAGTATATAGATGGTAGAAATGTGTAACATGTAAAAACCGATCGTGTAGCATAATAATGTCAGCACGAGTATTAAGAAGACTTTGTTTCGATCAGCATCTTTTAAATTCCCCTTCAACATCTCATAAATTTGACAAAGGAAGTGTAATGAATTCAAATAAAAATGACCTTATTTGTAAATTTCCCCTAGTATAATAAAACCACATTTGTCTCTTTATTGTGCAACATCAAATATTCACTGCATTCTGTCCAATTCAAAATCAAGTTTCCCTATTCGACATTACCAGAAGATGGATTTGCATTAAGATAATAAAGAGGAAAACTATTTTTAATCTGGTGTTAATCGAAAATCCTTCATAGTGCAATGCAAACTATTATGCAACACATTTCTTTAAGTCCAAAATTGACACTATCAAAGAGGATCCCAGCCCTACTGATTATAACCCAGCTGTGTATGTTTGCTGTTTTCTTTTGCTGCTTGCAACATAGAAATCACATCACCGTACCGATGTATACTTACATAATACAAAGTCCTCCCTGCCTCATTTATTTCAACGTGCATTTCAAAAGAATATGTGATTGTTGTTATTGGTACCATTTACTGCTACAGAAGACTAGCTAGGAGGGTTCACCCAAAAATTCTGCCATCATTTACTCACTCTCATGTTTTTGTTTTTTCAATTCTGTATTACCATTTCTATCTGAAAGACTCAGATGGCAGGTGAAAGTTTGCATGGTGTTTATTCCGTAAAGAATTAACAGATGTTTGTGAGCTACGATTCATGTTTAGTTGTATAAAAAAGTTATTTGGCGTAGGCCACGTGCTTAGTCCCAATTCCTTGGGGATGTAGATTCGGCTGATCCTGCCTGAAGATAAAGGCGGGTGCAGGGCCTACACCCGATGGATGGACAGAGGCCAACCTGGTGGTGGTGGAGAGGATGGAGGGGACCGTCAGCATCATCAACTTCGACCATGAAACGGAGAGTTCAGTGCTTATATACTTCAGGTGTCAATCAGTGATTGGCCAGACAAGTAAAAATAAGAAGATGTGGCATTCGAGTCTTCCTGCTAGAGCTAACGCAAAAGCTATCATTTCTTCTGTCGAACAAAAACAAAACATGTAAACCATAGACTGTAAAAAAATATGGACAAAGCGTCTGTGACGTCACCCATAGACTCTGAAGAACGGGTTTGCGGCTGTTTATGGAGGGTATGGGCAGCGCCATACTGGAAAATCTTGCACTGTAAAAAAAAGTATTTTCAAGATTTGTAATCACAACATTTTGTCTTTTGTCAAATCAACTTAAATAATTTATTTAGTTCAGATGAGTTTCTGATGATTAAATCAATATCCTTCATTGTAGCAACAAGGTTACTTAATTTTTTTAAGTTAAACCAACAATATTTTTTTACAGTGTGGGAAATACAAAATACAAAAGGATACAGAGGTGGTATGATGTGTTGTGTCAGATCATGGCCGAGACATCAAATTCACTCGGCGCAGCCTGTTATCAGCTGTCAATCAAAGTTAACCGCCCTTATTTGTCATTCATTTTATATCTAAATATGATCTAATCCATAGACTGTAAAAAAGATCTATACTAACGAGTTAGAAAAAAATTCATCCCCCTCACAGTTGTCAGGCACGCGGAACATATTGAAGATTGCAATAAAAGTCCATGGGACCAAACTGTAAACATATGAATTTATGCTGTGAAAACGGACATTTTAACATGGCGTCTGTGGATATTTGCTCCCTTTTGGGACCGCCCTCTAGCGGATTTTAGATGTATTGCAGTTTTTCGCACTTCCGGGTAGGCTTCATCTTTAAGATTAAAATGTTGCCGCTTGATGTAACCCAACAGTTTGGTTACCATTGACTTCCATTTTTGACCATTGTATGAACAAAAACACTTAGATTTTCCTTTTTTGTGTGTTCCACAGAAGAAAAAAATGACATGAGGTTGTGTAAATGAAGGCAGAATCTGCTTTGTCGTGTTGTTTTCACACTTTTCAACGCTAATGGCTTGTCAGTTGCATCGGTACAAATTGAACTTTAAAGGGGCTATGTGTAGGTTTTTACTTTAAAAAATCTTAGATAGAGTTTTCATTTGTACATGTATGAGCCAACCATAATGAAATAGAAATAATTGACACCTTGACACCATGGTTGCCTCTATCAGCCTGTAGGCTTAATTGTGTGTGGAGGGTCCGAATTCGCGCGTCACGCGTGTTCTCGGAAACAAGCGACCAGCCTCCATCACAATCCTGACACCCACAGAAACTCCTCTTAAGTTAAAAAAAGCCTTATCTAGCCCGTCCAAAATAGAGAGTGACCAGGGTCGGGCAAAGACAAGAGTCAACATCGGAGCGGCATTTGATTCTTGGAAGGAGCTGAGTATAAAACAGACCCCGTGCTGTCAAACAAAAACCTTACAGTACTGTAACTTTTCTTACCTCTGTAAACATGCTGGTGAACCTCGATGAGCCGTCTGTAGTTGCTGTGGTCTTGCTCATACGAGTGTGCGCCCCGAGAACGAGCATGAGACTGGCCGCAGTTTCTCTAACGGCCACTGGTGTCAGTAACTGTTAGAAATTTTAGAACTTACGCAATGCTCCTTTAATTCATATTGTACTTATAAATGCCATTGTGTGATTTGTTGGAAATGAGATGCAAGTTATTTTGAATTTAAGTTGAAAGAATTTTCGATTGATAAAATCTAGTAATTTAAACATAAATGAAATAAAAAATAACAAAAAATCTCCAAAAAATACTGCATTAAAAAATGTAGAAAAATATTATCAAAATTATATAAAATTAGCTTTCTGGACAAAAAATAAATGATTAAGTATAATTTTAGGGCTTTGGGAAGGATTTGTTACAAAGTGTGAGCTCGTTTGTGTCTCTGTTGAGTTCACAAGGATAAAAACTTACTCGTGTGCAATGGCAAGTGGATGTTGATACTGTTTCTGTGCAATGATGATAGCCAATAATATATATATATATAAAAAAACAGATAACTACAGAAAAATGGTCAATGAGGGTTGAAAATAATTGTTTTTTTAATATTCCCTTTGTGCAAAAAAAAAAACTTTATTAAAATTATGACAAGACCTCATGGAACATATTAAATAATTTGAAAAAAAATCATGCATTTCTGTTGTAAGAGGCCATTTTATCTCCATGTTATATTTACATTTTTATGGTTCTCAAGGATGTATGGTTTGCTAAATTTCTCTTAAAATTTCTCTTAAAACTGGAATGACTTAAATGAAGGCAACGTGAGTTTTTAATTCTGAACAGATTTTAAACCAATAGGCATCATATACTTGCCAATTTTGTAAATGGTTAAAGAAAAAACTGGGCAGCATCATACACTAAACTCTGAGGATCACATACTAACAGACTTTCACAATAACACAATTTGGCCAAACTAGAATAACTTCTAAACCATTTGTTTGATACCAGTGGCATTACTGTTGTTATTGATCAAACAAGCAATCAAATTATTTTAAAGCAAGTTGTTAAAATCCTGCAGCATTTTATGATGTTTAACCTCTGAGGAGTGTAAGTTGGTGGAAGTACTTGTCTAATAGACACATCCAGGCTCATGCAATGACAATGCTATAGCTATAGCTCACCATGCTTTAGCAGACTGTGCCTTGTTCTGAGTGGAGCTGGTATGAGTAAAATGCTTTAAAAGAAGAAAGGTCAGAGGTGCTAAAGTTGACTATGAGGTGTTGGACTAATATGTGTGCTGCATGCAGAAGTGGACAAAGTACACAACTTCCTTACTTGAGTGAAAGTACAGAAAGTTTGACTACTGGTCAAAATTACTCTGTTAAAAGTAAAAGTTGTTAAAGGGATACTCCACTTTTTTGGAAATAGGCTCATTTTACAACTCCCCCAGAGTTAAACAGTTGAGTTTCACCATTTAATTTCACCATTTCATCATTTACAGAATATCAGTAACCATACAGTTTCTGGTCTCACTGACTTCCACAGTAGGGAAAAAAATACACTATGGAAGTCAATGAGACTGTCTGAAACTGTCTGTTTACTCATATTCTTCTAAATATCAGAAAATCAGCTGAATGGATTCGAAAACGGTAAAACTCAACTGTTTAACTCTGTAAAATGAGCCTATTTCCAAAAAAGTGGAGTATCCCTTTAAGACATATGTAAAAGTACAGAAGTACTTATTTTCAAAAAATACTTAAGTATCAAAAGTAAATGTCAATGCATTGTTTCATTATTGTTGTATTTAATACAGTACCTTGTGCCTCTGAATATATGCATACCTACCCTCATATCAATATCAAATTTATTTCTAACACAGTTCCAGTAGTGGGATTAAATGTGGGATTGAATAAGTGCACTTAATAACGTCTACAATGGTTTCGGACACCAAAATGGTTGTTCCCTCAAAAAGTTCCCTATTTTAATTTGTTTGGCTTTTAGTATGAATATGTTAACCTTACTGTAACTAATAAGCTGCATGTGCTCTAAAACAATGACAAAATTCATCAGGTTCTGATGTCAACCTGGCTTTATTTTCCAGTTAAAGTAAAATGATTTCAGAAAAAAATAATACTCCAGTAAAGTACAAATACTCAAAAACTTTACATAAGTACAGCACTCAATTAAATGTACTGTGTTACTGTCCACCTCTGGCTGCATGTTACTAATAACTTACTGCCATTGGACTTTGGAGAAAAACAAAAACAATAACCACACTGATTAACTCCCATCTCTGTAAAGTTTAATTACATATTTGGTTTGGATACAGACAACACATTCACATTTTTTAATAGCTGATGGTCTTCAAAAACTTAATTTAATCACAAAATGATGAGCAATATTTGACATTGCATAGTTTCTAAAAGCAGCATCCAACACAACAAACACAAAAATGTGAGTCCTATCAGCCTACAAATTCACATTTGCAGAAAATGATTCACAATTAGTGCATTCCACTTTGATCAAACTGTGCCTAGTCTGAATCATCTTTTCTACCGCAGCAAGACGCTTACAGAGTGAGCCAGCACCAGCATCCCTTCCATCCACCCATCCATCTCTATTCTTCACCAGGGAGACATGTTAACTACTAAAGTGACCGTGATCCTGCTATAATGTTGCTGTTATGGTTCTAAGTCAGTAAGCTTATATTGTGTGTATATGTTTAAAACATATCCAGTATCCCTCACAGAAATCCCCACTGAACCAGTTGAATACATTTCCAATTACAAAAAGGTCTGACTAGCCATGCTATTTTAATCCAGATTGATTTGGTGTTTTAAAACTAGTTAGAAATGCATGTGGAATATAGTGCAAGTCTTTCCTTGAATGTGGACTGTGGCATCAGGGATTGAGGCTAGTCTTGTTGAGAAATTGACCTGCATGATTGTATGTAAAGCATCATTTTAATTGAGACACAATGACTGGAATTGGCAGGGGGGGAAAGCTGTTTCCCAACATGATGATGGCTTTATCTTTGGCTTTTCTCAATGTCTCAACTCAAGTTTTCTGTTTTGTTTTGTTTTTTTGTTTTTTTTTGGTCTATGATCGCATATGGTTATGATTTGAAATACAAAACTCATCTGTGTTGTTTTGCAACTGAAAATGGTGCTATGTGTGGCCCATTTGTAAAACAAACTGAAAGTCCTGTCCTAGTGTCCTACCATAAAGGAAATAAAGATGTCATTTAAAAGGAAGAAGGTTGTGAGATTTTTATTTCAAAATAATAATTACAGCATTTTTTGGCAGCCTACGATAACAACATATAAATGTGTGGCTGTATAGCATTCAGCACGCTAGAGTTAGTGGTTTGAACAAAAGGAATGATTGAGAAAATGGAAAATATCTTTCTTGTGGTTGTTCTTGACCACATTACTTTATGCCGCGGCGCGCACAGCAGTTTCCTTTACAGCTCTTTTGCTAAAGAAAAAAAGAAACAAAAGGAGAAGATAGTTAGACAATGCAAAAAAAAAAAAAAGAAAAAGAAAAGAAAAAAAGGTCAAATCTCGATTAGACCGTTTCGATTTTGGGAGTTAAAACTTGATATCCTACCTTCTCATTACTTTTGAGATGAGATTGTTGATCCATTGTGCTTCTGGGTTTATGCAAACTGTTTTGTTGTCCTTTTTGGTAATCCTGAAGAATTGAAAGAGATTGATGACTATTATGCAACAATATTTGTCTGGGCTGTAAGTGACATTTGTCTGAGAGCTACGTGGGCAACTGTGCAAATAATGTAAGGTATTTTCGAGAGCGCTGAGGTTTGTTAGAACAGAGGAAATGCCCACCCCCCCCATGCACATTTCCCCATGTCTGTGATTGAAGCGTATAGAAGCAAAACATCATGACTCACAAGATCTCGATTTTGCGACAGTGTGCTCCTGGAGGCAGGATCTCAATCTTCTGGAAGAGTCGAGGTGGGATCACGTCTGAGGTGGTGGCCAGACACTGACATTTCTTGTTGGTAGCAAAGCCATCCATTGGGAATGCTGAAACAGTACAATATTAAAATAATTTGTTCAGAATCAAAGGCAGAATTAATGCTGATAGTTTTTATTTTTTAATAAATTACATCCACATTTAAACTTTAAAAGCACTATATTTATAGGCATCTTTGAAAAAAAAATGAATGCACGTTTCGTTTATACACAATTTTGAGCATTAAATTAATACACAATTCATATAAATACAATAAAATTTAAAATGAAATGATTAAATATAACAGTTTTTTTTCTAGATTCTTACCCATGAGGGTTGTGAAGCAGCAGACTGCAATAGCTGCTAGCAGTAAATATGAGTTCAGTGACATGTTGAGGCTGAGATCAGGCGTGGAGTGAAGCAGGTCTTGGAAGAGAGACGTCTTCTGGACAGTTTATATTGATGCTCAAAAGAGGAAGTGATAAAGGAGGGGGGAAAAAATGCTTTAAATTTTGCTGTCAGTGGAAAATAATTATCTAGCTTTTCTCTAAGAGGAGACGGAACCAAACCATATTCTTAACCCTATAGCAGCTAAGTAAATTTGGTTTGTTAATATTCCTCAGTGCTTAAATGTAATTACACTGTAACAAGGACACCTTGAATTGCACTATTGCCAAATTTACTTCTGAGTCTCATTAGTGGATTTTGTTAACTCATTGGTGATAATTAACACATGGCAATTGACTTTTGTATTCACGTTTTGTTTATTTTCTATTGTAATAGTTATTGTAATTCATGAATAATGAAAACTCAAAAAAGTGTCGACAGAAGAATTATTTATAGATTATCTTCCATCCTGAATCAAATAAGATTAAAACAGCTCAATAATAAAATTAAAATAATTAGGGAAAATACAATACATTTCTTGAGGGGAACTGCATGGACACATATATAGCATTTTTTTAAAGTTACTTCATTTCATATTGTATGTTTCTTATCATAATTGTGCAATCTTAAAATCTCTTTTATCCACAAAGGACTTTCACTCTTTCACTTTGGAAACGGCATGGTTTCCATTCTCTTGAAAAGATTTGAAATACTTTCAGTTTCATGTTTTAGTGCTTAACTGACTTCACTCCAGACACAATGTACACCACAATTACTGTCTTCTGAAATTTGTGTTTTGGGATCTGAAGATTGATATTTCACTGTGGCAGAAAAATTAAGCTTTTTGTTTTTAGGCTGGTGGATTATAATACTGTTATGTAAAATATCAAACAGAATCTGAATCACTTTCTCTATATATTTAAACAGCAGAAAAGTCAGGAGCAGTAAAACATTTGATACATATAAAATAAGTATTATTTATATTAAAATTATTATAAATGGTTACACTTTCCTTTAAGGGGTCTGTGTTACATTGTAATTGTACATTTAAGTACTGAGTAATAATTAACTACTGCTATATGGTTAGTGTGGATTTTTGGTTATAGTTTAGAGTTAGTTGCATATAATTATGCATAATTTATATTGTACTGTATAGTGTACTGTATGCATAATTTATAGTGTAATTTATAGTGTACTGCACGTTACACTACCGTGTAACTAGAACACTTGTCTTATAATGATTGTTCACAGGGGAAAAGCATGACAGAAGAAGCATTAAGCTTTATTTTTATAATTTCTATAATTATTTTTATTAAAAAAAATTTTTTTTTGCTAAAAAAAGCAAACTTACTCTCAAATTTTCACTCAAATTCTCGTTATGTTTCAGATGGGAATTTTAGTGTACTGCATGAATATGTGAATGATAATTTTGCTGAAACTTGTTTACTAAAATAGTTCGACAAACACAACTGCCTTGTTGAACAAACAGAAATTGCAAAATAAGGGAACAGAAAATGCTGCCTTTGTCGAGCTAAATATTCCATCTATTTTCAGACTGCCCAGCTCTGAGCAAGTGCTGGCTTGGGCATTTCTATACCTTACCGTAAATGAAAAGGCACCATGAACCCAGCATCAAAAAATCCAGCCAGCATCATGGGTCAGCAAGAAAAATGTCCGTAAACCTCCGAAAGAAAAGAAAAAAATACCTCACCAGTTCTGATGTGGCAAGCAATACAAAAAACAGATATAAATCCAGATATAAAACGTAAGTAAATATCAATGGAAGGATCTTAAAGCAGCAGTTGAAAGAAGGCAGTCTTAATTTTAAAATTGGAGCAGTTTACAAAAGAAAAGTAGGGCAAACTGTTGGAGGAGAGCTTTAAAAACATTTAATTAAATCTTCAGCACAAGCAATACTGTCCAAGCAATTAATTTCAGTTTGTAATAAACAAAGATTCAGGTTGTGTGTGTGTGTGTGTGTGTGTGTGTGTTCCCTTGATTCTGTTCACCTTTCGTTCTATTAATGAACTAATTTAGCCTGTGTATATACTCCCTGTTTTGTTCAGTTCTCCGGTCTCATCTTGGTTAAATGGATGTGTTTCCTGAGGATTTTTGGATGAAAGATTTGGATTGTTTTAATTGAGCTATTCATCTTTTTGTGCTTATTTATACAGCCACTCATGACAAATTTCATTTGGACATATTTATATGGGGTCTTTTTCCCCCCTGATTTTTCATTTTTCTCTGCACCCCAAGGAATCTTTTGACCTTAATTGCCCTTTGACCTTTACAGTAACCTTTTTTTGCCTATACCTGTTTTTAAGCCTACATGAACCAGAAAAATATACATCATGTATGGGAAAGGAAGATGATTTAAGCAATTTTAAGTGTGACATCTGAGTATTTCACGATCTGCTCAGTTACTGGGATTTTCACGCACAGCCATTTCTAGGGTTTACAAAGAATGGTGTGAAAAGGGAAAATATCCAGTATGCGGCAGTCCTGTGGGCGAAAATGCCTTGTTGATGCTAGAGGTCAGAGGAGAATGGGCCGACTGATTCAAGCTGATAGAAGAGCAACTTTGTCTGAAATAACCACTTGTTACAACCGAGGTATGCAGCAAAGCATTTGTGAAGCCACAACACGCACAACCTTGAGGCGGATGGGCTACAACAGCAAGACCCCACCAGGTACCACTCATCTCCACTTCAAATAGGAAAGAAGAGGCTACAATTTTCAAGATCACACCAAAAATTGGACAGTTGAATACTGGAAAAATGTTGCCTGGTCTGATGAGTCTCATCAGAAGAGTCACCAGCCTGCACTTGTTACAACTTTGCAGGCTGGTGGTGGTGGTGTAATGGTCTGGGGGATGTTTTCTTGACACACTTTAGGCCCCCTGGTGCCAATTGGGAATTGTTTAAATGCCACGGACTACCTGAGCATTGTTTCTGACCATGTCCATCTCTTTATGGCCACAATGCTCCAATCCTGTGATGGCTACTTCCAGCAGGATAATGCACCATGTCACAAAGCTTGAATCTTTTCAAATTGGTTTCTTGCACATATGAGTTCACTGTACTAAAATGGCTGCTGCAGTCATCAGATCTCAACCCAATAGAGCATCTTTGGGATGTGGTGGAACAGAAGCTTCGTGCCCTGGATGTGCATCCCACAAATCTCCATCAACTGCAAGATGCTATCCTATCAATATGGGCCAACATTTCTAAAGAATGCTTTCAGCACCTTGTTGAATCAATGCCACGTAGAATTAAGGCAGTTCTGTGTTCCTAATAATCATTTAGGTGAGTGTATTTTATACTGTAGGTCCCAAAGCTTTGATCTGCTTTTGTTTACTTTACTTGAAAGGGAACTCACACTGCGTCGATTGACGCTTTGGTGAACGCCTCAGGCATGACAGGTGTCTGTCAGTCACATTGACCAGCGACAGCTGCTGACTTCATTAACATGCAACCTGGAAGTATAAAAGGGTGCCTTGCAAACAAAGAAGAGAGAAAAAATGAAAAAGAGGGAAAAGTGGCTTGTGGAACGAGCGATCGATCGATCGCACGGCAGGAGAGGCTTGTCATAGACTGAGTAGGAAGAACTCCTCGTACTTATTTCACCTTGGGGATCCCTACTCAGGACAGCGCTGTTCCTCTACACGGGCACGGACTTTGGTCGGCTCACCGGTGAGGCCGATTCAACACCCACACACACTTTGGACAGAAACACTCATACTTACTGGACTCAATATATATGTTTTAATTATTGTTGGTGTTAGTTATTTACATTTTGTGGTTATCCATCCATTCAATGCAAACAAGTTTATTTTACACTTATAATTATAATTTAACTATATTTTGAGGTTTAACCTACTTTAAGTGAGGCTGAGCATTACAAGGTAGTAGGCCTCACCAGGCATCTCTTAAGGTGAGTTCCCACATATGGTGGTTATTAGGTAGTAGGCTTCACTAGGCCTCCCTGAAGGTGAATTCCCACATATGGTGGTTATCAGGTAGTAGGCCTACCGGAAGGCAAGTTTCCACATTTGGTGGTTACCAGGTAGTAGGCCTCACCAGGCCTCCCTGAAGGCGAAGTTTCCACATGCGGTGGTAGTCAGGTAGTAGGCCTCACAGGGCCTCCCTATAAGTGGTTTCCCAACTGGGCAGCTAATGGCCTTAGCAGGCAGCTTCTGAAGGCAAGCTTGTGCCCTGGCTTGACTAAAGTATTCATTCTCTGCTACTGGTTCCCTCCCGGAACCTCTTTTTATCCTGCCTACAGCCTGGTTTGCCCACCAGGCAGACCATGTAATCCCCTCACTGAAGGACACTATGAGTACGCAGACTGAGTCTGGTCAGACGGTCTTGGGGCTCTTGTGTGGCCTCCCAGTTAGATCAGCCCTTATGCCTTCTCAGGCCTCCACAGTGTTTTGAAACACAAATGTTGGGTATATCCATGGATCAAGCAGAGAAACTCCACTCGCTGGCAAGGGTTGTAATGGCTATGCTGAGTCAGGCTCTTCAGGATATACCGTTTCTGAGATCTGGGCCGAGTGGTTTACTGTCAGCTTTGCAGTCCAGAGGGACGCCTTATCTAAAGGCAAGTGTCCAGGGGCAAGTGTCTTCGGACAGACAGGAAGTTGGCCAGGCTGAATTATCCAATGTAAGTGACATCAGGCCTCCTGGTGGCATTTCGGGTGAGTATGTTCCCCTGAATAGTGACTGGCTGGGGCTCCTTCGGGTTACCTAGCCACATTCCCTAGAAGGGACACCTTCTGATTTGAAGCTGTGGTTCCAGGCCCTTGAGCAGGCCCACTTAGACCTTTCATTGAACAAGGTTTATCGAGGTTTCCTGTGAAGCGTGTAGCTGTGGGAATGCTGTCAATGATAGCCCAGTGTGATCTGAAGGTAAGTGGTTTTGGCATTTCATTTGAATTTGCTGGTTCTGACAGTTTGGGCATGCCCTCCCCTTAGGATGGCGACGTGGGTATATCATGCCCCAAAGTGTCAATCGATGCAGTGCAAATTCCCTTTCGAAAGAGAACGTCTCAGGATATGACTGTAACCTTTGTTCCCTGAAAACAGGGAATGAGACACTGCGCCTTTCTACCATGCCTCGGGGCCTGCCTGCCAAACAGTCCCTTCAGACAATAGGTGTGCTTGCAATGTTCATGCTTGCAAGGCAGGAATTTATACTTCAAGGTTGTATGTTAATGAATTCAGCCGCTGCCGCCGGTTGATTTGATAGTGATTTCAGTAACACAGTCTCATCCCAAGACGTCATATAACTGACATCTTGGGACGTCTTTTGACCATACGTCAACATCTGCGGTTTTAGGGTACCCTTTAACGTCAGTTACATGATGATCCTGGGAGTCATACAACTGACGCTTTACCTTTAACGTCAGTTAGGTGACGAGGTAGGCTTAGGGGTAGGTTTAGGTCTGGGGTAGGGTTAGGATCCGATAACGTCATCAAACCGACGTTAAAGGGTACCCTAAAATGGCGGATGTTGACGTATCATATGACGTCTTGGGATGAGACTGCGCTGATTTCAGACACCTGTCATGTCTGAAGCCCCGTTCACACTACACGCGACTTTGTCGCTGCAGGTCGCCTGTCTGCGCTGGAGGGCGTTCCCCACTACTGGTTGCCTAGTAATGTTTGTGAGTGACATTCATGGAAGTTACTCTATGTTAGACAACAAATACGTTTTATTGCCGCTACAAACAAATATTTTGTAAGAAAAAGTCTAAATATAAATGGAATCAGTATAAAATCCATAATATTAAAGATGAACGAGAAACAGTGAGTGCTCTTTGCCATGGCGGCAATTTAACTGCAGCAAACGTGCAAATACCAGTCTATCTGGGTTCCCTGAAACCATTCACTCACAGAGTCAGTACATGAACACCACTGTATGTACACAGAGATATATCATGAATTATAGGACAGTTTCTGACTGCTAAAATGAGCTTCTCGTTCAACTTATCTCGGTCAGACTCAGCACTGAAGAGTGACACGCTCCACTGACTTCACTCCTATTGGTTGTCACTTGCGAAAATCGCCCTTCATTTACATGAAGTTAAAAATTTCTCAACTTTGTCGCGTCGCTGGACACGTCCCACTGGTCGCCAACGGTCGCTGTCGCGCGTGTCGCCGGAAGTCGCCCGCTCATAATGAATGGTATCGCGTCGCTTGGTCATGTGTAGTGTGAACGGGGCTTGAGGCGTAGTGCACAGACGCAGTGCGAGTTTGAAGGTAAATTCATTGTTAAAGTTTTTCTTAAAGTCATGAACATCAGATCTCAATGTCTAGTTTAACAGCTTTTTGTGGTGGAAATTACTTTTTAACTTATTTTCTCCTCCACTAATTGTATAGCCAGAATTTGATGTACATGCAAAGCAACAATATGTAGGCTATCTTGATTTTTTATCACAACTCAAATGTCACACCATGCCAGTCATTTCCTGTTAACTTAAAAACCAAATCTTGAAAAAACGTGGGACAAATGTATTTTTGGAAAGAAAATTTAAACTAATAATAATAATTTTCACAAAATAAATGAAAGGCAATATATAAAAAGCATCTGTAAAGTCTGAAAAGTAAATGTTGAAAAAGAATCAACATCTGGGAAACAGAATTACCCAAAGTTGAAAAAAAAGTGTTATAGGGTTGTCCAAGAAACTAATTTTGCTGACTTCTTCACTGATTCTGAGTATTTGCTGCAACCTCTATTTCACTAAAGTAGCTGCAAGCTCCATCTTCACTTTTCTGTTCCTTTTCAGTTGTTTTAACATTTAAGATTGATCAGATAGGCAAACCATTAACATTCTTTGTGGATATTGAGTTAAAACGTTTATTTTTGAATAATTAAAACAGGGGTTCTCTCAATTGGGACTAGGGACCTCAGCACATTTTGAGCACACTCAAAAAATGTACGTTTCTAATGTTTTTAAAAACAAATTTTTAGCTTTTTCTAAAGCCTAACTAAAGCCTATGCCATATTTCCTATAGAATGGAAAATGAAATCATGCTAAGTTAACATAAAATCAAAACGGGGGGTTCCCCTTGAATGGTAAACAGCAATTTGACATTCAGGACTCGGTCAACACATTATCCACAAAATCCACAGCACCAGTGGTTTGATGTCATTAATATATGTGGGTAGTAGTGCTAAACATACTCTGTCATCTACACGATGCGTTGAGGCTTTTGTTCCACTTTCCGTTCACGTAGGCTAATAGATGCAGAAGCTTCAAGGGCCTCGCGCTGATATTTAGCTTGTGGGGGGCGCTTCCGTGGATTCTGACCACACGAGGCTCCACTCATTGCCCTATACTGTAAGAGGTATGACTCATAATTCACAGATTACTCATCGGGAACCCAAATAAATGAAAATACTTTTATAAGATTATTTATAGCTATTTCCCTAGTCCCCCATTGCTGATGTCGTCATATAGGCTACTGTTCTGTCTTTTACTTAGTGAACCCCAAATAATGAGACTTTCACAGGAAGGTATGGGCTACGTCACAGGTTTTTCAGTAGGCTACCTGCTTAGAAATATTTGCATTATACTGCCATTTATCTACAAATGTAATGATATATTGAACACAGCCCTCATCCTAAATTGTCTTGATTGTTAGCATTGGAAATTTACCCTCAGAGGCTTTATTTTGATAATATAAGAGTAGCCTAATTATCTCCAGTGGAATTATCTAAATACATTTCTGATGTAACAAAAATGTTTTTGCATATCATTAATAGCTTGACCTTGGATATGCTAGGTTCATTTTCAGCTTTTCTCAGACATGTTATTTTTGTTACCAGAAGTGCCTTATTCTGGACCTGGCCACATGTATTTCATATGCCTTTGTCTTGTAGCTAGGCTATACTATAACAAATGCAAATGGTCTTTAGTTTTTAATGCCAATGCATTAACATAAAGTGCTTTTGGCTTTCAAAAATCTTTAGATAAGCTGTCTTATATCACATTGTAACGTAGGCCCTATTATGAACAATGTAGTGAAAGGAGCACAGGTCATTGGATAATTTATGGTCATTCTTTTTCTTACTCCTTTAAAACTTTGTGCAGGTATTGCACCCCATGGCCTTTACAAACCATGTCCAGTAGGGGGCGTAATCCAACAATAAAAAAAACAACATGAACGAATAATAAATATTTCAGAATCCGCTGTATTTCCAGTTCACTAATCAAAAAGGTAGGCTACATGTGACTCGTTGTACATAGGGTCAGATGTTCTTCCACTGAAGCTCAATAGATCACCTCAGATCTGGAGTAGGCTACATGATCATCAGGCTTTACACTAACTTTTGGAGTTCATTCAGTCATTAAAATAAAAAGGGACAAACTAATAAGACATTCTTGCATTTATTCATGAACATTTTTATCTTTAAAATAAAATATTACATTTGTAATTCAACATTTGGCACAATATAAATACAACAAAACATTATATATATATATTATATATGTTATATTATTCAATATATTAGTAATGTTATCTGTGTTTAAAATAAACAACACTGAAAAGCAAACTCTGACTAAAAATTAAATCAAAATATTGTTTGACAAACAGTTGTTGTTGTTGTTGTTGTTGTTGTTTTAATTCTACAAAGCTTCTTTGACGGTTCTTGCATTGTCATCTGATGTAGGATCTGGTATGTACTTGGTGCTCAGCTGTCCAGTGAGTGCCTTAATTCGCTTGTAGTTGAAGTCGTAGTGGGGATTTAGGATTCAGGCAGACTTTTATTTGAGGTTTCTTTAAAGTCACACTGTTGGCAAAATATGGAACATTTAGTCAAATCAATGATCACAAATTGTTTAACACACAATAAACATCATAAAAAACATTCAACAATAATAAATTGCATTACACAATCTCAGTGGTGCCACAGAATGCACTTGGTTTGTGCACTTTCCAATCCTTGATGTTTCCAGGCCGTATGTCATATGTTCTGGAGCACAGGCACCGCTTGCTTATGAACATCCGTTGGCCTAAAGCAGAGATATCAATACAAAATATTAAAACCACTTGCTACTCTATCTGGATGTTGTCACTCAAGTGTAAAATAACCTGACTTATTCTTTAGGTGACCTGTTGGACCTGTCATGTTTGTCTGCTCACTATTATGCCACAAGCAATAAAATAAAGTAGTAAAGTAATAAAACTTGCACTCATAAAGCATGTAGTACAGTACATGTAGGCTACAAGTGTAGGCTTAATGTCATCATGACAGAATAAGATGTGAAAAAGCTCTTACCCTCAGTGAAAGCCATGCAGATCAGGAAGACCAATGACAGGAGAAAGATGGTCCGGCTCATACTTGACCAAGATGTGATACAAGATGTGAATATGAATGTGATTCTAAGCTTTTATAGACACCTGACCTTGGTAATTCCCCTTCGTTCCCACTGTTGAAAATGACATCATCCTGGCATAATGCAGCCAAGTCATAACAACCCTAAATTGAAGAACATAAAAATAACTAACAAAAATATGTTTTATTATTTTTACATGTTACATGCATTTACAAAAATGTGTGTTTTCTTTAAAAAGGACACTTTATCTAAGTGGTTTGAGGCTGTTTGCACCACAGTCGGAAAATGAGATGCAAGATGGCGTTAGTTGCATTTGTGTAAAACAAGAGAGAGCGAGTCCGCAGTGTGATACGAGAATAACGCCATTTTCTGTTACCTCGATGAGCGGGGAGTCAAACAGGCCATGATAGACAACAGAGAATTTTGGAACCTTTTAAAATATTCAGAGTAGACATCAAGATACTGATTCAACAGAATAATAATTTGCATTTGATTTCATTTCACCATTATTACTGCTCAAGGTGTATGAAATCTTTAATAGCCTTTAAATGTGCTGTGATGGTATGAAGTTTCAGTAGCCTATTACTCAGCAAAGTCTACAACCTGCTCTTATTTGGACAAGTTCCAAGTTATTGTGCATGTGTGACCTTGCCTAAGTTGGATCAAGGGATTTCCCTTATTTCCTCATTTTTCATTTAAGAATGTAGGCTATACGTAAGCAGCTGAGAATGGAAAGTTAAGGGGGTTTTACTCCTTAATGTTTTCTTCTTACTTACTGAGTTGCAAGTCATTCATTCATTCAATTTAACCACATTATTAACTTGTTTTTAAAAGAAAATCAAAGCTATTTACACTAAATCGTTTACTCTGAATAGTGTTCATGAAAAATGGAGATCGTCAGATTTGTAACTGCACATTGATATTTTTAGAGCAGTGATCGAAATGTGAAGTGTTTCTGTGTTTGCTGTTGCATTTTGAGATGGTGGTCACATGACCCGAGACTTCCTCTAGTCTAGAACAAAGTAATTCTCAGAAATGCTCTGCTTTACACTAAACTGGCAGTATGAGCTCTCTCATGCTTTTCAGAGAAAGAGAGAGAAAATATATCATGTATAATGTTCAAGCCAGAAGTGTGTCTCCCATCAAAGTACTGTGTGTGCTGTAAAAGTATTTTCATTTTAGTATTTGTTTCATGCTTGTGCTTTAATAAATTTAAAGACTTCAAGTTTTGCAATGCAGACATTAAAGTGAAACTGATATTGTAAATGTTTGATTCTCAGGGAAGGTAGCCTACATGAATCTAGGTTGACCATATTTTGATTGCCAAAAACCAGGACACTCGGCCCAGCAAACAGATGCTCAAATACACTTTTCAATACATTTAAATAGGGTAAGCCTCTTCTGTATAGGTTGTTATATTACAAGACACACATTCAGATTATTTACTCAATAAATATCTCAAATAAATACCTCGAAATTGAACAAAAATAGCTCTCACAAACTTACAAAAACGAACTAACAAAATATAATTATAGACCATTTTACAAGATGTAAACAACACTGGTCCAGAAACACTTCCTGTTTCAGTTTGTAACTGTTTTCTTTATTTCACATGTAAAGAAAACATCTTAAAGATGTTTGTTTAACTTTTTGATTCAGTTTTATATGTTCTGTTGGTTGTATTTTATCCCAGCTTTTATGTAGTGTTAAAAAACTGAAACAGGAAGTGCTTCTGGACCAGTGTTGTTTACATCTTGCAAAATGGTCTAGGCTAAATCTTATCTTTAGTTTTCTTCCTCTTTATCCTGTTTTCCTTCCTCATCCTCATTGTTTGCCCATCTATATTTTGCAGTAGAGCTGATCTTTCCCAGCAGTTTTTTGGACATCATTACTTTATAACAGCCAGGACGGCCAGGACAGGATGTGAAAACAGGAGATGTCCTGGGAAAACGTACAGTTACTAACGTAACCTCGGTTCTCTCTAGAAGAGGGAACGAGTACTGCGTAATATCTTACACTAGGGGACAACCTCTTTTCCTTGAGATATCGAAGCCAAAAAATTATCCTTAATTTTGAATTATTGCAAAACAAATTGCGGCAGCATGCAGACATGGGCAAGGCAGCTTAGCGTGCCTATTTGGCTGTCCTGTGGCAACTGCAGCAGCCTATCGAGAGTGGCCTTTTGGTGAAGGTCCAATCGGGGCGCTTTGTGCCCATTGCGTCACGCTTCCACCAAAGTGGACTTGGTCTAGCCCTATAAATATAGCTTGATGGTCTGATATCACTGGTTTTTCATCGGCAAGACAAGGCAAGATACGCAGTACTCATTTCCTCTTCTAGAGAGAACCGAGGTTACGTTAGTAACCAAGTACGTTCTCTTACGAGAGGTTCTCTCGTACTGCGTAATATCTTACGCTAGGGCAACACTATGCAAAACCATGCTGTGCATGTAGGGATCCAACACCAAAGTCCCAAGGGGCAAGTGCCTGAGGCACATATAGTGCATAATCACCATAAACTCACAGAGAGTCTGAAAAAAGATGCTAGCAGCATCATTCTCAAATAATTTAGCCACAAGAAAGGTTATTCATTATTACAGTGTCACACACAGTCACGTGATGGTGTTCAGCACTCCCTCGGGGAGGTTTGCGGGTACCCGTTGATGATCCATCCGTGCAGGGCCCACCATTCTGGACGAGGATGCCAAATTGAGCCCTTGGCCTGAGAGAGGGGGTCTTTCCTCGTCGGTATAGGCCATGGGGCAGTGCTCGTCAGCCGCATTAGGACTGGGAACCATTCCTGGTTCGTCCAGAGCGGAGCCACAAGGAGCACAGGGCATCTGGTTTCCCTGATTCATTCCAACACTTGAGGCAGGAGTGAGACTGGGGGAAAAGTATAGAGCAAGCAGCTGGGCCAGACGTGGGCCAGTGCATCCTTGCTCTTTGGGAAGAATTTTGGGCAGTGAGCGTTCTCCTGGGACGCGAATTATAGGTCCACATGTGCTCTGCCGAACTTCTCCCACAGCAGGAGGATTGTCTGCGGGTGCGGTGACCACAGGTGGTACATTGTTTCTGGACAGTCTGTCTGGCCCCAAATTCTGGGAGCCAGGCACGTGTGCTGCTCTCAGTGAGTGCAGATTGTGCTGAGCCCACACCAGGATGCGTTCCGTCAGTCTGAAAAGGTTTTGAGACTGGATGCCAAACTGGCGATTTATGTAGGATACCACTGACATGTTGTCCGAGCGGACTAAGACGTGGTAACCTCTTATTCGGGGACAAAAGCACCTCAACGCGTTGTCGACTCCCAACATTTCCAGACAGTTTATATAAAGGAGATGTTCTTGTTCTGACCATAGACAGAAAAATGGTCAGGCATCATGCAGCGCTCCCCATTCCGAGGTGGAGGCATCCGTGGACACCACCTGCACACTCGAGGAAGTCCCCAGGTTTACACCAGACTGGTACCAGTCGGTCGCTCTCCAAGGTTTCAGGGCTGTGATACATTCCTGAATGACCCTGAGGCGAAGCCGACCGGAAGCCCAAGCTTGAGGTGGTACTCGCGCTTTGAGCCAAAACTGCAGTGGGTGCATGCAGAGCAAACCCAGCTGCAGTACTGATGATGCTGAGGCCCACCAATTTCTAAAACCTCCTGAGCGGGACTACTAGCGCCGCAGCGGAAGGATTTTGTGAAGCGCTGAATATTTAGTCTGTGGTTTGCCGACAGCCACGCTGTCATAAACAGCAAGTTCAGCTCTCTGCCCAGGATATATATATGAAGAGTTCATATGCAAAAGCCTCTAAATGCCATTTGAAATTTTCTTCTTTAATGATGATTTTTATCAAACTTGTATATTTAAGTTCAGTAATTTCACTTAAATGGCGATGATAATTACCTATTAATTGTTATTTAAGTGAAATTACTGAACTTTAATATACAAGTTTGATAAAAATCATCATTCAAGAAGAAAATTTCAAATGGCATTTAGAGGCTTTTGCATCTGAACTCTTCATATATATATATATTTATATATATATATTTTTTTTTTGCTTGTTATTGAAATCTGTTTGCGGGATTATTTCATGGGTTAAAAAGAACATTTTTATTTTTATTTTTACTTTAATATACTGAAATGCTTAATTAGTAGCCTACTTTATCTAGCTACTTTATCACTATTACAATGGTTACAAAAGTTGAGTGCAAATATTAAATAAATGTTTACACTAAATGATACAAATGTTTTTTATATTTAAAGTTTTACTACATTTTCTTCCTGGAATCCACCTTGAAATATGGGCGGGGGGTTCTGTTTTGGATCAAAGTTATCCAAATCCTTCTGAAGGTTTGATCCAGATTAAAACTAGGATTTGATTCTGTGATCTAATCTGATTTCAGATTCCTTCTATCCCCTTTGAACAACCTATTTGATCCAAAATCCCAATCAGTTTACCTTTGAACAACTGTGAGACTGAAGTATTGCTCTTTACTGCCCTCTGTATGTCATTTTAAAAACAAACTGTTTTATGTAAATACCTTTATCACTTTTGCTTTCATATTCATAAAAAAACCTCCCGAATAGGTTTTGCTGTATGTGTAATATGAAATTATATATGTATTTTACAGAAACTTGTAATAAGACCAATATTGTTAACAGTTTTCAGCTCTTAATAGTTATTGAGATTCGCTATTCATTAACAATCATTAAGGAATAAGCACTTTATTTGCTTCTGAAAACCCAATGATAAACACAATACACACTATTACACGTAGGTTATAGGGATAAAAACACTAACAAATATTGTCACAGATGTGTCTAGTTGGAGACTGCATCTGGTCTACTTACAGTTTTTTTCGATTGCTTAAGCACAATTTTGAAAACAGGGCCCGGTTTGTCAAAACACTACACACAATTAACACAACACAACACTTCAGATCATTTGCAAAATGGAACACTTTAATCAAAACTATTCAACGTCTTATAAAAACCTTATTTTGCTGTCATAACATGAACACAACCATCATATGGTTTGACTCTGTTTGAATCAGTTAAACACTCCTCTGCTCAACCTAAAACACTTTCAGCATTTACAGAGAAAGTGAAAAAAATAAATTTACCAACACCACATGACACAAATTTTGCAGACTAATGAAAATATTTATTTCTTTTCATGTACTCAAGTCAGTCAATACTGAACATTTCAACAACAACAAAAAAAAAAAAACATTTTCCAGTTTTCATACAGTATTACGGAACGTACCATTGTACTGTAAGCTTACCGTAATACTGTAACAGATTACATATCCAGTTCAGTACTAAACATTTCTCCGCCAAGCTGGTTCTGGCCACAGGGCCTCGTAAACATCATACATTATGCTATGTTTTCATTTGCAAGGCAACATGGGAAGAATCTTTTTGAGTGACGAATCTATGGATGCTGCTTCAATTTGATCACATGCTTCCTTCATAGCTTGAATGAGGGGCATCTGGACATAGGGCCAGAGATCATAAACCTTCCACCGCCATGTTGAGAAGAACTCAACATAGTGCCTTACTTTAAGAAGAAGGGAGTATGGTGGAAAATACTGAACTGTAAATTGTGCGTATTGATGAAATGTGGGACTCATGCGGGACTCATGCAGCACTTATTTCCGCATCCATTTGCACAACTCTCTGAAATACAGCAAAAGATCACATTGTGTAGATCAATATACTGTAGGTCTGTAGGCTATATAGTAAAATTACATGTACAGTATGTAAAAAAAAGTTTATGTGTGCAGTACACAATACAGTCAGTGAATAAAACGTACCACCACATATTCACGCCGCAGGACCTTGACCCTGTCTGAATTTGGTTGTGCACATTTCAAAGTCCTTTTAATGTTGCAATCAAAGCTACGTGCTTTACAAAGTCATTGATACTTAAAAAGGTATTGTTATAGAACAGGAAAGTTAATCCTCGTGGCCAGAAGAATATTGAAAGTCTATAAAGGAGGATAATTTTGTGAGATTTGATGGAGATCGAATGATCAAGTTTGCTGGACAAGCAGATGATTCGATCATAAATTAATCCCCTTAAAGATTATACTGACAATCTATCTCTTTTAGATAATTGACATATTGATATTTAATATAATTCTTATGATTGATTATTGATAGTACAATTGTTCATCGCATTCAATTGTTCATACAAAACATTGGCAACTTATTCCCTTATGGGTATTTTATACTTTGTAGGTGCACTGTAAAAAAAAATGTGTTAAATTTACGGTAAAATACCGGCAGCTGTGGTTGCCAGAAATTTACCGTATAAAATACGGTAGCAAGAATTTACGGTAATGAAGTTTTACAGGCTTAACTTACAATTTACAGAAATAAACCGTATTTAATTATCTGATATACTGTTAAATTAGCGACCATTTGAAGTGTAAATATCTGTTGTAATATACTGACGTCCATCAATCACAGCAGTAATAAGAGTCACATGATATAAGGAAACTCATCACATGTTTTCTTTCACAAGAAACCTAATATTAACATATAGAAGCGGCACAGTGTCATTCACTCAAACATTAAACAACGTCATGGTAACACACATTTAAAAAAGGCAATAAACATTAATTTAACAACATTGAATGTCACATAAAACCCCAATGTACCTAACTGACAACGCATTCTCACCCCAAGGCGTCACCTTTGACCATGCTTCAATATTTGACGCTTTAGGCGCCCTTTAGCGTCAGTTACATGACGCGATCCTATGGCGTCATCTAACTGACGCTAAAGGAAAGCGTCAGTTAGATGACGCGGTTAGGTTTAGGTCTGGGGTGGGGGTAGGGTTACACGCGATCCGAGGGCGTCCTCTAACTGACGCTAAAGGGCGCCTAAAGCGTCAAACATTGAAGCATGGTCGAAATGCCTATCACCTAACTGACGCCTTGGGGGTGAGAATGGGCTGTAACTGATTAGAAAAAGACTAAGCAAACTATGAAGAAACAAGTTATTTCAACAAAAATATTTCAAGTGTGGAGTGTCACGCGGGGAATTGTGGGAATGTTAAATTACTTTTTTTTTTACTGTAAATTATACGATGAGTTGTTCATTTTCACTTTAAAAGCTGTAAATTTAACAGTATTTTACAGTAAAATTACATGAAATTTACCTTAAGATCTATCACAGTTATTTACCGTATAGTAAGGAAAGATTCTGTTAACCAATTAACAGTTTTTCACTGTAGCATTTTTACAGTCTTTTACTGTGATTCCCGATCATTATTAATTATTTAAATTATATTCCCTGCATCTGAGCTAATAGGAATATCCCAGTTTCCCTAGTGTAATATTGCAGCTTTCACAAGAGCGCTATTGTTCCCAATATAATCAACATGGCAGAAGACATGACAGTAGTATTCTACGATTGTGAGTGTGATGGATACAACAGTGCAACAAGTGTCTTTTGGAATTTTGTATTATATTAAGTAAATAAATCATAATATTCTTTAATATTCTGTTTTGTTTCACTTAGTTCCTGTTTCTCTGCTCCATTTAGTTTTGGTTTCCTTGGTTACTTATTATCTCCTTGTTTTCTATGGTTACATATAAATATCACCTGTCAGTCATTATGTTTGACTTGTCTTTAAAACTCCCTGTTATGTCCCTTGTCAGTTCTCGCATGCAATTTATCCTGTTTCTCTCTGTTTTTGAGTGTTATGAAGATCAAATAAAAACTTTTCTGAGTTCATATGCCGTCTCGTCGTGCGTGCTACAGATTGTGACAGCAAGAAGAAGAAAAAACCTTACCAGTGTATTTTTGCATTAAAGTTAAGCCAATAAATACAGTTATTTATACAGACTCTCTGACAGCTTTATTAAGTGGCCAGTCAACAAGACAAGGATTAATATATGAGATACTTAAAAATCTACAGAAAATTTGTTTAGTCCTGAGGGTACAGTACATGGATATGTGGGAGAACAAGGAAATGAAATAGTCCACTGAGTAAAGCAGAAATAAAAGGAAAAATTAAAGAACAACATGAATGAAAAGTGGCAAGAAACAGCTGTTTATGTAGGCTAGACTGTTTTTTTAACAATGACATGCAACATTAGCAGATTTGAAAATGACTGTTGACTGTTTGTGCCTCAACTATTCAATCACAAAACACTTGTTTAAAAAGTGAAGTTCATGCATAGACTAGCCTACTTCTTCCTATAGAATTACATTTCTAAGCATCATCATATAACCTGTTACCTGATAATTTATATTCAAAATTGAATTTAATCATGCTGTCTACTATACATGTAGTGATATGTTGTTGACATTTATAGGATAATTTGAGCAGCTGACAGTTACTGCTGAAAATCACAAAATGCTAATTTCATTCTTCATTAAATGAGAGGCAGACAGTGTCAATTAGCACGGGATTAAATAACAACAAAGCTGTTAACCTAAAAAATGTCCAATAAGCACAAAAACGACAATGAGGAAAGAATTAATGAGATCACATCATTTTGAAAGAACAAAGTGTTTTTTGCTAAAAATTAAATTAAAATACAAGGAAGCCCTGTGTGACGATCACCAGTTGGAGTGCCCCAGAGAATCACCAGAGGGCACTCCACATCTGAACTGATCACTCCCACCAGAACTCCGTTTTCCATAATGCCTCTTCCCTGTGACTGATTACACACACACCTGCACCTCATTTCAGACTGCCTATATAAGCTACACTCATACAAGGACTCTTGGTGAAGTATTGCATTGCCACGGCTTGTAAGTGTTTCTGAGTGTTTATCCTGTTTCTGGTTTCTCTGGTTTTGATCCTGGTTTGTTTCCTGACTTCTGCCTGTTTGCTGCCTGCCCTGATCTTCTGCCTGTTACCTGACGACTCTCTGCGCTCACTCTCTGATATCCCTGTTTTGCTGTTTCCTGACCCCTGCCTGTTTGATGATTCTAAATAAAGCTGCACATGGATCTCCTCTCGTCTCCAGCTTCGTAACACCTTGATACTTTTGTAGCTTTCTGGTCTATAAATAACTTTCGATCTCCATGATCTGCAAGAATGAAAGACAGCTTATATAAAATATAATACCATAGGTTTTAGTTTTATTCATTGATATTCTTTCATTTATTTTTATAACTATAATTAATTACGATATTGCATTAAGAGTGAAAATTGCTTGGGATACTTACAATTCAAGCAGTAATATGAAGTCACTTTCTGGAAGGGAAATTAATATATGAATATATTGTGTTAACTACAATTGCACGTTCAACTTTCACTTTGGACCCTTTTCACACATTTGCTGGTTTCAGAAGCAGAAGTTGTCATGAATGGGTCAACTTCAATAAAGATTACAGTAAATTGCATTCCTGATTTCTGCGATAGCAAATAAAAAGAAAAATACACGATAGCTTTCCACAAGTTTCTAATCAAGAAAAATATATAAAGAGATTGATTACAACAGTTAAAGAACAAGGGGTCAAATTTAGCTTATCTTACCTCCCTGTATTTATGTTGTATTTATTTTTTATAAATAAAAGTACAGTGTTTGTACATTTAAAAAAATGGAAATATATAGCTACAAAACCTTTGCTAGATTTTTAACAGGAACGCATCATTGCAGTTTGTGAAAACAAAAGTGTCCTTTGCGTTTAACATGCCTACCTTTGATTTGAAGAGGTGTGCAGTTTGAACAATTGCATTATCATTCTTCTGACATCTCAGTAATTTATTATCAAAAATCAGACAGTCCACTGCAAGTGTGTTCTCTCTCTGTATAGCATTGTTGCTGTCTGGGATAATTCTCTCAGGGTCAAACGTAGAATGGAGTATCACCATGATGATTGGTACAGATAAACCTGTAAGGCAGTTAAAACTGGATTGTTAATTGGATCATATACTGTAAAAAAACTGCACCGGTTATTTGAATTAATTATGTTTTATTAATCTAGCTTCACACATGGAAATTGATCAAGGTGCTTCATTGCAGCGTCAATGTCAGTTCCAGCACGAGAAACAATGGGGCAGAAAAACAGCATGGCTTGACATTGCTCACTGGAATAGACCTCCTTCAGACCAGATACTTTCTTACGGAGACTATCCATGAATTCATCTTCAACAGAATCCATTGTCTGTCCTGAGTCCAAAATAAGAAGAGAAAGATAAAACAGTTAAAGAACAGATACATTTTAGAATATTCCTAATATAGACAGTGTTTAAATAGTTAGATCTTAACCTTTCAGTAACCCAAACTTTCATTAAAACATTCTTAAACGTAAAATGTGACAACTACAAAAAACGCTGCAGTAAAATGGTTTGATATGAGGTGTGTATTAATTACTGTATGGGACGTCCATTATAAGAAGTGGCCATTAGTTTTTTTTACTACTTATTAGAAATAAGGACTTTCTAGGCTTCTGAAGTCGAATAATGTGACATAACTCCAAAATGCTGCAGTAAAATGGTTTGATATACTGTGTGATATACGATGTGAATACTGTATGGGACGTCCAAGAACTAACCATTTGTTTTTTCTACTTATTAGAAATGAGGTCTTTATAGGCCTCTGAAGTAGTAAAATGTGACATATCAACAAAACGCTAGAGTAAAATGGTTTGATGTGAGGTGTGTATTCTGAATAACATATAAGAAGTATAACATATAAGATCTGTCTCCTATATAAGAAACAACTAGTTTTTTCTATAGAAATTTGGCCTTTAGATCTATATATATATATATATATAATAGATAGATAGATAGATAGATAGATAGATAGATAGATAGATAGATAGATAGATAGATAGATATAATTAGAGAATTCATTAATATTAATTCTTACTAAATGCATCAGAGAGCTCTCTAAATGAATTGCTACTAGTAATAATTGGATTAGAGAGCTGTGTAATTGTAATTCTTAATTGAATTAGAGAGCTCTCTAATTGTAATTCTTACTAGTAACAATTCAATTTTAAAGGCTCAATTAAAAATGAATGGAAGTCAATTAGAGAATTAAATTTAAGAATTTAATTAGAGAGCTCTGCAATTGTATTTACTAGTAATAATTGAATTAGAGAGCTCTGCAATTGTATTTGTTACTAGTAATAATTTAATTGGAGCTATGTAATTGTATTTTCACTATATAAGAATGGAATTGTAGAGCTCTCTAATTGAAGTCTTACTAACAATTGCATTAAAGAGCTCTCTAATTGAATTGAGCTCTGCAATTGCATTCTTACTAGTAAGAATTGATAGAGAGCTCTCTAAGGGTGCTTCTCATTTCTTATTTGTGCATCCTCGTTTCCTTTCCTTGCTTCCTTTCCTTGCGTCTCAGCTCCACCCCCTGTAGGACGTGAGGGAAGGAAGCGAGGAAAGGAAAGGAGGACAGAGGAATCGAATAAAAGCTTTTTTATATACATTGGAGTACTTGATCACTCGAGCGTCACTCCACAGTGTCATCAGCAGCGCTAAAAGGATTTGCCCTTATGTTGTTGAAGTTTGGTAATTCATAATAAATAATAATAAAGATAGACTATACTGTTGAAATATCTGAGATGTGTGGTTTATATAAACTGCAAAGGTAAAGTATAAATTAAAATGATTGTGACCGATGTGAAGGGGGAGGAGAATTGACACGTGCGTCACGTTTAGTCAATATAACAGTTCCGCGTAGGATGCACCTGTGTATCCTCGCTTATGACTCCTCAGGAAGCCTCCTATCTCCTCGATCCTCGACTCCTCACGGTGCAATTAGAGAATTGAGATGTCCTTCAAGATGGCTGAGCTCGATCGGTTTCCGGGTCATAGGAGGGAGGACGGAGGAGCGAGGAGACGAGGAGGGATATTGAGAAGCACCCTAAATCTCTAAGCACAGCTGCACTACTTCCTGAACTTAAGCCAGCTCCTTGTTTCCTTTCTGCTATTATTGGCCAAACTTGATTATTTCAGGTGTGTCTGATTATTGTTGCCATGACTACTGAGGTCAGGCACACCTTAATCAATCAATTTTATCAATGATGGCAGACAGGAAACAAGGAGCTGGCTGAAGTTCAGGAAGTAGTGCAGCTGTGCATAAGGCCAATTGTAGCTAATGCCGATTTCCAGGCAACCTATAATAACTTGTGTTTTTCCAACCTTATACCCGTGAAAGTGCACTGGAACGGCAGTCAAACCCGTTACTTCCCACCCGTGAACTCGTAGTAGACCGATGTACTCCGAGTTCTGACGTCACATAGCCCGCAAACATATACAAAACTACAATGACAGCCCCTACGGATGCAGTGTTTCTGCAGGCGGTACTCGGTGAGATACACTTTAGGACAATATAACGTTAACTAGTTTTCAGTCCATTGAGTGCAAGGATAAATTAATATCAAATACATTTCCAAATATACAAATAAAGTAAAATAAAAGGTATAACAGCTTATCTTGCCTCATGCGCTATTTTTCCTCCTCAGTTTCCCACAAATAAACAAGGAGTAAGCACCTTTGGCGTTAGAAATTATGAATAATGAGCCCCGTAAGGTCCGCCATGCTGGTTTGTTTACATCTAGGTAGTTTGGCGTGAATGACCTGGAATGCTACAAAGTCGTAAGTCCGTGGTTTGAAGTCGTGATTTACGTGCTCAAAAACCTGCCTGGAACGCAGCATAATTCTTACTAGTAAAAACTGATTTGGAGCTCTCTAATTGAATTCTTACTAGTATGCAATTGCAGAGCTCTGCAATTCGATTAAAGAGCTCTGCAATTACATTCGTACTAGTAAAAATCGAATTAGAGAGCTCACTAATCGTAATTGTTATTAGTAAGAATTTAATTAGAGAGCTCTATAATTGTAATTGCTACTAGGAATTGGCTTTATGCCCAGCTGCACTACTTCCTGAACTTCAGCCAGCTTCTTGTTTCCTGTCTGCCATTAATGGCCAAATTGATTAATGGGCTCTATGCACGGCGGTATTTCCGGTGAAGCATTAGGGATGCTCGATAACTTCCGCCGATCATAGAGTCCAATGCAATAGCGAGAATTTATATTGAATTTTATACTCCATGGTTATACTAATGAAACGTTAGTCACAAAAACAGATAAAACAGACACCCCTCGTTGTGTTTATGCTTCTTTTTAAAATTATATCAAATAAACATAACTGTATATAAAATTACATCTAAACGTATGTACGTTTCGTTTCAAAAACGGGAGGACAGTAAATATTGAAGACTCTGCCATAATCCCGTTTTCTCCGGTTTTCCTCCGCTTTAATCTACACAACCGGAAATAGACGCGCATCCTTGCGTCAAATGCGGAACTTATGCGTGCATATAGCCCATTCAGGTGTGTCTGATTATTGTTGCCATGACAACTGAGGTCAGGCACACCTGGATTAATCAATTTGGCCAATAATTGCAGACAGGAAACAAGGAGCTGGCTGAAGTTCAGGAAGTAGTGCAGCTGGGCATTAAATGGTAAAGCTCTCTAATTTCATTCTTACTGGTATGCAATAATGACGAGTAAGGTTGGATACAATTTAGGCTTGCCATAGACACTGTGAAGTGACGCTCGAGTGATCAAGTACTATTACAAATATAAAAAAGCTTTTATTTATTCGATTGTTCCGTCTTCCTTTTCTTTCCTCACTTCACTCCCTCGCGTCCTACATGGGGTGGAGCTGAGATACGAGGGAAGGAAGCGAGGGAAGGAAGCCAGGAAAGGAAGCGAGGAAAGGAAACAAGGATGCAGAAATAAGAAATGAGAAGCACCCACTACCCTCACACAACCTCTAAACCTACATATCACACACACACACTGAGAGACTATAGCCCGATCCCCTAAATACCCGTTGCACAAGGAGGAGAATCCTAGCCTATCGAGGTGAAAAAGGTGGGACCTTCCCCTACCATCCTGGGAAAAGAATATCGCTCCCAGTACATGTCGCCAAAAATGGAAAAATAAAAAATAGTTAGATTTCATTTATTCAAATGATTGTTTCTGAAATCACAATTTAGCAAAGCTATCTATTGATGAGTAGTCACACACACAACATTTTTTTTATTTCTGTGCATTTTTGGAATAAAAAAAATAAAATATGTAAAGGCCCATATAGCCTATATACGACTCGGGCTTAGTATTTCTGTTATTTAATTTCGGCTAAAACACCATGGAAGATTTCCATTGCTTTTTACAGTTCTGTGATATATGCACTTTAAAATCTCATTCACAAATAGCAGGTTAAGTTCCAGAGGGATACAAAAATATACATAGCTAAAATAAGGCATAGCCTAATGAAGCATATAGCCAACAGACTGCTAGGCTAGCCTATACTTACTGTTTTTCTTCTTCTTCAGAGGCCTAAAGGGTAGCGTGAGGTCTGGCTAAGCGCTGAGTCATGCAACTACAGCTCGCTGCATCCTGCGGTGGATATCCAAACAGGTGTTCTGACATTCCATCCTACCCGTCAGATTGTCCTACCAAGGCTTACTGCGCATGCGCACATCAATAATACGTCATTTTTTGTCACGCTGAACAACACGCCCATAATATTTTACTACTTGCGCGAGATCTTCTTCATCTGAGGTAAGTTTTTCACTATACAAAGATATATAGCAGTAATGAGAACTGTTTACTCTCACATTCATACAAAGCAAATTCATATTAGCATTTTTTTCATGAAAACATTAACGTAAAATCATTCTACTCGTTTATTTCATACTGGTAGGACAATCTGATGAGGCATTTTGCACTGTAAAATCATACTACTCGTTTATTTCATACTGGTAGCACAATCTGATGAGGTATTTTGCAACGTAAAATCATCCTATCGTTTATTTCATAGGACAATCTGAAGAGGTAACGTTACTTTGCACTGTAAAATCACCGTAACATGGCCTAATAAGAAAATTCGGCAAAGTTACACAGAAATATTTTATGTAACTTAGTCACAGACGCGAAGCAGAAACGCTCAGTAGGATTTTACGACGAGGTAGGATGAACCGATAGATATGGCTATAATTTTGCGCTACGGTAGGAAAATCTGACAAGGTAGGACAGATCGACAGACCACCGGCCCACATCCAAGTGTGACGTCAGAAGCCTCGCCCATGTCCAAAGACGGCACGTGATTCAATTTGATGTGATTCGTGTACACATGCGCAAAATGCCGCTGCTTCCTGTCGGAATATGTTTATGGTTGTTATCGTAGTAGTTATTGATTTATAATAAAGATGAGGTTATTTGTGTAGAGATGTGGCACTACAGATTATTGGTGCAGTTAAATTGTGACGCTTTGGCAGGCTTGGAATCGTCTAAAACACAAGCACTCCCTTAACAGCTGTATTAGACAATACGTTTGCATTGCTCACTGGTTTTGTAAGTTAATGACAAGTAAACAATGTACCTTAAAACGATATTTTTGTATTTCTCTTGTATTTCTGTTACAAATGGTAATCAATAATCATGGTTTTGCTATAATAAACATATAAGGGAGCATCTATATTTAAACTAAAATGAGTTTTTATCTCTTTCTTAAATATATGGGATCCAAACTGCACTTATAGTTATCCCTTCTAAAAAATTAATTTAAAAAAACGTTTTTAAACATTTCTTTCTATGTGGTTATAGAAATATTGCATTTTTTACAAATTAAGAATTCACCTGTTAATGCCTGTTATAGCAAATTACTTTGAAATGGCAGAATGGAATTTATGTAAACCTTAAATCATATACTAATATATAATATACTCATTAGTCATTATAAGCAAAGTGAGATATTTCATGCCTTTATGTGTTATAAATTTGATGATTACGGCATATAGCTATGTTGAATTACCGAAATAAATTAACTTTTGCACAATATTCTAATACATAAAAAAACAGTTAATCTCTCGCTTCCTCTTCTGTACAGGTTTTATGAGTTTAACATATCAAAATATCATCATCGTTCAAAATATCTTGGTCAAAAATGATTTTTTTAATGTAATATTTTGTGTTAATACATCAAGTTTACACATATGGTTAAAAAATGACCCATTTATGCAAGTGTGATAACTTTTTGTTAAAATAACCAATGTCCGTTGTTCAGAGCAAATCCCTACACAATCGGAGGCTGCAGCTTTAGGACCCCGGTTACAGGACCCTTGTTTTAGTTTGTATGTACATAGTTCGAAAGACATTTAATCTCAGGAGTATTTTTATAAAATGTTTTTTTTTATTCAAAATGCATCAAAGACATTTACAAAAAATGTAAATTCATACAAAACAAATTAAAAATGTTTATCAATCTTATTCAACTGAAAAGTGGTGTGAGCCCTAGTTTCTTGAATTATGCTGTATATTGATTAACCTCCTTAAGTTTAACTAATTTGCTCATTATCAGATAAAATAACGATGGAATCAGCACATGCAGTCACTAAATGATATGGCCAGAATATCAGAAGGCAAAACTTGAGAATGATTTAAGCATGAATTTATTTATATATACATATGTATTTATTTATATTATACGAAAGAACAAAATTATTTATGCTAGAACAAAAGCACCAAAAAGATCCCCCGTTTTCCACCAGTTGCTGCAGGAATGGCTTCAACTCTGAGAGAGAGATAAATACAAATGAGTTTAACATGTTCAAATAAAATATATATTTCTGATTTAACACTAAACAGTTATGAAATGTTGGAGTTGTAGAGAGAGAAAGTCAAATTGAATATTCATGTTACTGACGTAATTCCAAACTCCAAATGTGTAAATGTAAAAGTAACAGCCAACAATTGAATGGTCTCCTTTCTTTCCTCAATTATTTGTCAATATGTCAGTTAAAATCTTCCACTTCACTGAAATAGTTATCAGAGAACAGTCACTGTTGTGTTACTGTAACAGAATTATCAGTAACAAAAGGGTGCACTGGGCATTGTGCAAAAATAATGAATAATCTACTCTGACTTGCAATGATAATCCAGACCAGAAAGGAAGACCTGCTCAGCCTCCTGTGAGGAGATATCCCAGTCAGGAGACAGCCAGGGCATTTATGATTGCCTATGAAAAAAGTAAATATAAATGTACAATAATATATCTCATATTCTTTTTCCAAGTAGAATAAGATTTACAGGATGTAACGTCACACATAGACACTAAAATAATATATTTTTATATTTACCCTTAATCCAAATAAAAACATGAAATTGGTGTAATAATAATAATAATAGTATAGTAGACATATAGTAGACATAACAAAAGTTTCAGTTGAGAGTATACTGATACTAAATACACCAAGAGACATCACAGGGGAGTTAAATGACCAATAAGTTGAAGATAATTCATAGCTCTAAAACAACATCAAACCTTATTGATTACATATCGCGGGCTTTCGCGCTAATTGCGGAGCAGGCATGCTAGTCAAGTGATCACACCCACACATTACAAACTACTAATAAAGTGATAAGAGCAGCTTACAACAGGTAACATCTCATTCTCATACAGCTCATTCGTATTATGTTAAACAGTGTTCACTAAAACCGCAAACTTTTGTGCATTTTGTTTCGCAGTTACCTTCGTCTTCTAGTCTTCTCTTCTCGATAGTTCTTCTTCCTGTTTTTAAATGTTAACGAGAATGTGTCCAATTTGGGCATGGGCGTGGTAGCTTCTGACGTCACACTTGGATGGGGCCGGGTGTCCACCGCAGGATGCAGCGAGAGGCTTCTCCAATCATGAGTCATTGAGCAACACTTTCGTTTAGGCTAGTTGATTCAGCTTAATGATCTTTCTCTTTCGTTTTTGACTCTACTGCGTGAATAAACGTCTAAAAGTTACAGCACATTGCATGCGTAAGCTGCTTACGTAGGCTAATAATCGACAGCAGAAAATAAATATTGTATTAAACAGTATAATAGGCAGTTGTATGTAAAGGTTTGTGATAGCTACAGTATGTATTTTCCCAAAATAGGCCTAATTGTGTTACTTTATTATTGTATAGGCCTAAGTTCTCTTTCCTACACTTAGCCTAATAAAATGAAAACAACAGCACTATATAACAATATAGAAAGTGCAAAGTTCAAAAAATAACCTGTGATCTTGACACAATTCTTCTTAAAAATTTCTGGGTTTTGTTGTTGTTGTTTTTTTGTTGTTTTTTAACCAAAATAAACTCATGTTCCAATCTGTGTTTAACCTTTATCCATCCTGTTTTAACATCTCTCAAACACATTTACAAATGATTTAACACAAGTACTTACAAATCTTGCAGTGGGATATCTTGAAGTATTATCTCAAAATGTCCCTTTTAAAGTTCAATGTTTTGAGTTATATTTAGTGTAGGCTATATAGACCTAATCATCATCATCATCCTCTGATCTACTGACAGTTAGCCTAGCACTGACTAATTGAAAAATGTCAGTTTTGTTTGCCAAGATAACTACTGTGAAAAATCATCATCCATGTGAGAGCTCAATGGTTATAGGCTATTTTTTCTCAAGAGTAGGCATGCACGTAGCCTGATATATTGTTATTTAGCAGATCTTTAGCAGTTTAATTATTAATTTAGAGTATTTAAATGTAATAGTCTACACCCCCTGTAACTGGGGCCATCTAGTGGGCCCCTGCGAATAAGGCAAGAACCGCTGTTTTATCATGGCTCTCCAGTTTGCTAGATGTCAGTAGTGCACTCAGATTGCCACCACAAATCAACCAGACAGTAAAAGAAATCAACACAAGAAAAAGAGTGGTTCTCTCGGGAAAGATGGGACAGAGAGGAGAAAGGAAGGCATTTATATCAAATTCAAAAGAGTGTAAAAATAACTAGATTAGGTGGTGGGCTAGGAAGAGAGGAAACTGTAATGACAAGGTTAAGACTGGGCCACTGTGCTTTAAACCAATCACTGAAAATGATTGTGTGAGTGCAGGAAGTGGAGTCAGTGGACCACATAATAATAATCTGTAGGAGGTATGAGGTACAGAGAGTGATAATGAGGAATAATTTGAGGGAATTAGGGGTACAAGAATTAACATTAAAATGCGTGTTGAATAAGTGACAGACCACAGGTTAGAATAGGCATATTGTTAACTTTTTTAAGAGAAACTGGTTTGTATGATCGGTTATGAGGATAAATAGGGATATAGGAAAATGTGTCGGGAAATTAGTGAATGTGAGTGAGTAATATGGTGTTTTTTGGGGTTTTTTTAATGTGGAAATTAGATTGTAAGCCTAATGTCTGATTCACACTCCGGAGCAGAAGGTGGCGGTAATGCACCAAAAGCTGGTTGCCAACCGCCGTTAAAAACAAAGAAGAAGAAGAAGGATCTCTTAGTAAACTTCCGGGCATGGCGGAGAAGAAAATAGCCGGTATGTTTTCCTTGGTGTGTTGTCTGATAATAGTGCATGGTAAAAAAAAATGAATAGGCCTAAATAAATATAACGTAATACTCGCAAGTCTCTTCCCAGCCCCGTGTTTTATTATTTGCAGCAGAACATGTAAACAGCCTAGCTATTCATCATCACGCTATCAGCCCTATTCTGTAAGCATTGTAAATCCAGCTGCATGATTTGTCCTCTTCAGTCCGCTCGCAGGATCCCGGCCAGCGGCGTGTGCTGGACAGTGCCACGCGCCAGCGCCGTTTGACCCGCCAGCTCGAGGCGCTCGAGAAAGACAACTTCCAGGACGACCCTCACGCGAGCCTCCCGCAGCTCGTCAAGCGGCTGCCGCAGTTTGACGAGAGCAACGAATCGAGTCTGTTTTTTGCATCGTTCAATCCCCATCCATTTGCACGTTTTAATATATCGAACTGTATCCGAGTATGTTGCGTTGACGGTTGTGTTGTCTTTTAATTTCAAGGCAAGCGGAGGAAGAAGACAAGGGGTGATCATTTTAAACAGAGGTTCCGCAAAAACTTCCAGACGCTTTTGGAGGAGGAGGTGAAGCAATCGCATCTTTCACTCATTATTATTGCGTGCTGAAAAAGTCAAACACAACCCTGTCTTTTCTATGGTGAACGTTACGGAATCTCAAAAAAGACCGGAAAAAAATCATAAAGAACATGATCCGTAGGACCATTAGGGATAGTTCACCCCAAAAATAAAACTTGGCCATCAGTTACTTTCCAAGTTTTTTCCTCTTTCCAAACCTGTATGAATTTCTTTCTTCTGTTGAACACAAAATAAGATATTTTGATGAATGATGGTAACCATACTTCCAAAGTATTTTTTTCCTACAATGGAAGTTATTGGGTACCGTCAACTGTCTGGTTATCATCATTCTTCAAAATATCTTATTTTGTGTTCAACAGAAGAAACTCCTACAGGTTTGAAACAACTTGAGGGTGAGTAATGGTAAATTTAGTTTTTGAGTAATACTATCCCTTTAAAATGGTAAATTACTCATAAATCATGGTCAGCATAAAAGTTACTGTTATGACAGTACAGGACTGTAACAGGATGTAAATATTAATATTCTGAAGTAAAGTTCCAGGGCATAATATAACAATGTCACAACGCAAACTTATGATTAATTCTAAAATAATCTAGTCTGCTGCTACTTTTCTTTTCGGAGTCCTGGAAATATTTCCATGCCATCAACATCCTCTTACACCTTTTTTGTTTTCTTTTTTTCTTCCAGGACTTGAGTGTTAGTGAGGGTCCAAATTATCTGACTGCATGTGCTGAGCCCTCTAAGTTTCCTCAGCGTCATTTCTGTGCAGTGTGCGGCTTCCCTTCAAACTACACCTGTGTGTCGTGTGGATCTCGCTACTGCTGTGTCCGATGTTTAGGAACACACCACGAGACCAGGTAACACACTCGCTCATGCATTTGTGGCTGGAAGGCAACACACTTTCTCAAAAGCGATATCGGATAATAGGAACACAACTTAAACAACAAGACAACTCAATTTTGTTATCTAATTTCAAATCTGTATGACTTTCTTTTTTTCTGCGGGAGACATTTTGAAGAATGTTTTAACTTTTTCTAGAAGTAAAGAAAGTCATATAGGTTTGGAAGAACATGAGGTTGAGTAAATGACCGGTCAAGAAGATGAAACAATGAAAGGTCAAGATGAAACACCAATAAGGCATATGGTAAACTGATTAAGCAAGATCAATTGAGTGTAAATTGTGCTTGTCTTTTCAGGTGTCTAAAGTGGACGGTATGATCGGTTCATCTGTCTTGAACTCCTATCTAAAGCAAAGCAAGCTAATGGTTCATACTGCACTCTTACAAGCTTATGTTCCTCAAAAGCATCACCGCCATTTACCTGCACAATAAACATATTGAGGCATATATTACTAGCAGTCCTAGGTCTGGTTGCTAAAATAATGAATATCGGCCATGCACCCCTTTGTACTACAAATAGGCAGTACTTCAATTGAAATTTAATCGGATGAAACGGATAGAACATTTGCCAAACACATACAAAACCAGCTCTTGTTTTGTAATTCAATGTAAAATATTCTTCAAGCTTTTGTATGTAAATATATGTACATAATTGTTTATATTATTGTTATAAAATGTTGTCTGAAACAAATAAATGAATAGATGTGGTAAAAATGTGCTGTTTTTATGATCCGTTTGACATGCATTGAGAGGTACTTCTAAGACTTTGTGATTATAAATGGCACCACCGAATTTAAGGTAAAAGCATCAAAATACGTTTAAAAATCATCCATGCATCCAATATTAAAATGATTCTGAACTGTAATAATGCCATACAACCCCCAAACTTCTTCATACATATATCCATGATTGCACTAACAATAAACTAATATTAAATTTCTAGTGCTTTAGCAGGAATTACTTTAAAACAGTAACGTTACTGTGATGAAGTTTAGCAATCATTTGATTTCTTTTGTGTGTTCTGTTCAAGGAGTACTAGTTCACTTTTATTTATTTTTTTACTTTCTTTTTTACATTACTCATTTTTACACCCACTTTATGTCATCCAAGATGTCCACGTCTTTCTTTCTTCAGTCTTCAAAAGAAATTAAGGTTTTTGATGAAAACATTCCAGGATTTTTACCATATAATGGACTTCAATGGGAACCAAACGGTTCAAGGTCCAAATGAGAGATTCAGTTCAGCTTCAAAGGGCTTTAAACGACACCAGACGATGAATAAGGGTATTATCTAAGACCCTTCGAGTCATGACTCAAAAAAAGATTTGTTCATTTTGATGAACGAGTTTGAACAGGAGAGTCACGAACGCTCTTCACAGAACAGAGCAAGGCGAGCATTTGTGCTTATAAAACTTAAACTTTTTTATTCATTTTTGAAATGACCGATGGTTTCGCTAGATAAGACCCTTATTCATCGTCTGGTGTCGTTTAAAGCCCTTTGAAGCTGCACTGAAACTCTCATTTGGACCTTGAACCGTTTGGTTCCCATTGAAGTCCATTATATGGTAAAAATCCTGGAATGTTTTCATCAAAAAAATTAATTTCTTTTTGACTGAAGAAAGAAAGACGTGGACATCTTGGATGACATGGTGCTGAGTAAATTATCAGCAAAAGTTTTTTTTAAAAGTGAACTACTCCTTTAAGGGACATACACAGTTCAATATGAATAGAGCATAAAATTGCATTCATTAATTTGGTTCATAATGAGCTTGGAGCATCATTTTGGAGAAATTCTAATTCACATGGCATCAGTGCAAAAATATGTACATTTTCCTCTTCTCGTATCTCTCCCACATTATATTCCAGACAGCGGTTTCATTAATTTTTGTGTTTTCCAACATTTCTATATGATGCGCAGCTCGTGTGTTTCTGCCAGTCCGCAGCTGGTCTTGTGTCTGTGGAAAAGTTCAGACAGAGCCGTCATGTATAAACTGTGGTAATGATCCACCTGTTCCTGAGATGGACTTTCAACCTGAGGCACAGTAATGGGATGGCCCACTGGAAGAGATGAAGGAATTGCAATCATACAACAGTTGACTGATTCAGCAGCAGACAGATTGGTAAGTGTCGCTACCAGAAAAATAATTTGAGAAGAAAATATTGATGTGAGAAGTCTTTCGAAACTGACCCACGGTTGTGACAGGACGTCTGAATGGCAGGAGCAGCCAGCGCCCCCCAGTGAAGAGACAAGGAGCAAAACCCATGATCTGCTTAAAGAGAGCCTGTAGCCGTCGACCCACGCTGCCCTCAGACAGAACAACCTGCGGGAACAGCTCGTTCTCGCCAAAGGAGTACACAGGAACCAGGTCAGCCCTAAATACTCAGCAAAAAAACAAACAAACAAAAAAAACGATTATGCAGTCAAATCAAACGTGAAAGTGAAAAGTATTTAAGTTGGCAGTTGCAGCTTAAAATGTGTACATTTTATTTCATCTTTCAAGTTGTTATTGCTGATATTTCCAATACCAATTGATTTCTCCAATTCGGTTTCATTCAAGTTCTGCCTCCTATTTCAAATTATTGCCATCCTCTGTTTAGAGCAGTGTTTCTCAACCTGGGGGCAGCAAACTTTCAACGCTTAAAGGGATAGTTAAAAAAACCCCAAAAAATAACGACTTTATTCAACTATTCATTTTTTTCTCTGTGGGCCTCGAGTGAGTTCACTAGTGTAAAAACGTAAGCTTCTGTTGTTGTACATCAAACGCATCACACACCAATAGTGAGCCTATGTGTGACGTAGCTCTACGGTATCACACTACATTAAAGTGTAACTAAACACTAAACCAACTTTTTTAGTTAACGATCTGTAAGAATGTATCTTTATTAATACCAGTCATTGATTCGAGTAACGTTTATGACATTTGTTTATAAAGTGTTCAATTTCTACAATATATGGTGTAAAAACATATTAGTGCTGCCCTCTTCAGGTTGAACGGTGACTACTGCAGTTGAATTTTCCTATTGGATGTTCCGCACTTCGTGACATACGCAGGTTTCAGCTCACCACGCGAGCTAAGCTCTTGGCAGTATAAAAACCATCTTGTGTCGTCAGAACCACTGTAGGGAGTCAGGAATTGGATTTGTGAGTGTTGAAAACGACCAGGATAGAGTGTTTTAGCATTTATTTCGTCCCCTCTATCTCCGCTGGGGTCAGCCCACTTTTTCAGCATTTTCAAATATTGCCAGTGGGTGGAGTCAGGCTCTGACCAGGGGTTTAGTTATCCTTTAACTGACTCGAGGCCCACAGAGAAGGATGAATAAGAGAAGGATGATGAGTCATTATTTTTGTTTGTTTTTGCACTCAAAAAGTATTCTCGTTGCTTGATAAACTTAAGATTGAGCCACTGTAGTCACTTGGACTATTTTAACGATGTCTTTAATAACTTTTCGGGGCTGGCAATATCTTAATTTGTACTCTGAAGATGAACAAAGGTCTTACGGGGTTGGAACAACATTAGGGTGAGTAAAAACTGACAGAATTTTCATTTTTGGGTGAACTATCCCTTTAATATTATATAAAATATGACAAATAAGGTTTAAAATAATGTATGCAAATATATACTCAGCAAAATGTATGCTGTCATTGTACTTATTTTAGTTTGTTCCCTCAAAAACTGCCATTTTTATTTAAGAAACATGTTCTCATGGTCTTGGGTCTCATGGGAAAACCTAGATATACAACGGAAATTCACGAGTATGATTTATAGACCTGGAAAAGTCTTGGACATTTTTATAATGAATAGAAATTTGCCTAGTTCAAGCTCTAGAATATTTTATTGGAAATAAATTAGAATTGTAGAGTAGTTGCTATTTGTGAGACAAAATAAATACATTTAAAAAATGCAATTGCAAATTACCAGAGTCATGTAAATTCATTGGTAATAAATATATGAGATTAAAAAAAAATCTGAAATTATGGAATGCAATTATAATTATTTTAAAAGAATTGCCTCTCATAGTTTCTGTGAATAAAAAAGTTTGGAAATGAGCAGCTTTGTTATTACAGCAGAAGCACCAGAAACATCTTGGTGGTCTTTTATATCATATTTGACAATGGGCAAAGTCACAAATATTAGGAGCTATTGGAATCAGAAAGGGAGAACCACTGATTTAGAGCATTTGGGAGAGGGGTCAGAAATTAAGATACTGGTGAAATGAAACTAGTTTTCCCAAAGGCCTGGTTGAGAACCACTGGTTTAAACTAGGGCTTTATATTTCAATCAACTGGTGCTCAATCTTCTAGTCTTGTTCTTGTCTCTTTCTCACCCATGCTTAAGGGCCAGTCGTACAAAGCCTTTCCTGTGTTTCATGACTACTGTGTTTACTCCTGGAGACGAGGTAAGTGATTCCTCTGCCCCACCAATGATGATGACCACAGCGTTACCCACACCAGTACGGCTCAGCAAGTAATCCAAACTCTCCTTACTAACAGGCAACAGACCTGAAAATGAGAAACAGTTAGAGAAACACTTTGTTTTCTTGTCTTTCTCGCTCACTGTTGCTGTAGCCGTTTTTTTTTTTTTGTTTGTTTTTTTTTACTGACCTGCACACAAAACATATTCTCTGAAGAGAGGAAGGCGGAAAAGTCCAGCCAAGATTGCAATTGTGGAGCGTATTCCAGGAAAGGTTTCCGCAAATCCATTATGGTCTGTGCCGAAGCATGAGAATGCTCCCACACACATGATGCCATGAGGGTGACAACCCAAAATATAGTTCTTACTGGGATTCAGTTCAGCAGTCTTTACCAGCTGAAGGAATAGTGAGTCAAAGAGGGAGAGAAAGAGAGAACAACAAGGGTAGGAGACAAAGAAGATTCAAGGTTTTTTTTTCAGTAACTGGGTATAATGATTGTGCTATTTACCTTCACAGGAAAATAGTCTCGGAAGTGTTTCCATACTTCCCAGTTTCTCACAAACTTTGTTCTTCTGCCACCTAGTGGACATATAAATCATTAGCATTTTTTTCAATTCTATCAGACAATGAAAGCTATTTTAATATATTTCATATTGAATTGATCTTAGGTCAACCTGTGAGTTTAGATGGAAAATCCTAGGTCTGAAACTAATTGATAATACGATTATTGATTAGAAATTGAAAGTAAATAAAAAGTAAAGATAATAATAATAAAGAAATAAAACACTAGGGGTTCTCAGCAAGTTTATGATACTCCATCAAAGTACATGATAAGATCAAGGCATTCTTTTCCTTCATTAATTTTAAAATTAGATAAGTAATGAGCAATGAAGTAATGAAAATAAGTTCATGAAAAACGTAAAAGTTTGGAAGTGTTTTCAGGAATCCAAAGAATAATAAATGTTAACTGCCAAGTCATGCATTTCATCTTTCCTCAGCGCAGAACTTTTATTTTACGGTTATATCCTTATCTGTAAGTTCACGCAAAATGATTCCATTTTGCATTAAGGTTTGTCCTGACAGTCTGCGTTAAACTTCATGTGTGTCAAAAATCACATTGGAGAGCGAGACAATTAATATTCAGTGCAAAATCTTTTATTTTGCTTAAATATCTGTTTTTGAACACTAAATTTAGTTTTAAAGTCAACATGTAATTCAAGTACTTTATTAGATTGGTAACTGTAATGGTATAACATCATGCAGTTATTGAATATTTTCAGACTTTTTTTTACATTTAAACAACCCTTTTCGCACATAGCTCTTTTGCAAATAGCATATATAGATATATTCACTATATATGTTTTCATAGCATTCAGTCGGCAGGTTTGTTTGAAGGGTAGCATTGGGCAGGATGCATAATAGTATGTTTTGTAAATAAATAAATAAAAAAAGGAAACTTGTCTTCAAGTCCGATTAATCAAAGAAATAATCGTCCAACTTGTCGATTAATAATCATTAGTTTTTGCCCTAGAAAAGTCTGTGATCATATGCTAACCCTCAAGTTGTTCCAAATCTGTCTGACTTTCTTCTGCGGAACAAAAGATTTTTGGTAACCAAACAGGTTTGGTGACCATTGACTAAGACATTCCCCAGAATATCATCTTCTGTGTTCCTCAGAAGAAAGTTATACAGGTTTTTAGGGCTGCACGATTAATCGCAACAAAACCGCACGCGATTTATTTTATGCGCAGCTTGTCAGCACAGTGTGGCTGGTCCGGTAGAAAATCCTACGCCAAATATGCCCCGCTGCAGAAGTATAACACGCATCATTCCAGGAAATCACAATTGCTGTAGCTGAATAAATAGATTGAAACGCTTTGATTAAACATGACTAATAAACACACGACTGCCTTATTCTGTTTATGGAGCACATCAGTGCTTTCAGATGACAAGCTGAAACAGACATAGTGTTGTAGTCATAGGTTGACCTCGCTCAGGTGTTTGCCAATCATAGATCTGCCAGGAGATGTAGAGAACGGGGATGAGCCACAGAGAGGTGAACATCAAGTAGATCATCAGCAGTACACAGGCCACTCCTGCATAAACACACATGAGAAGCATCATGGAAATTTCCATATAGCACCCCAAAGTAACTTGTTTCCTTAGTTGTTTTTTTCTCTGTGTGTGTGCCCGTGTGCGTGCAACAGGTCTCACCTAAAAACAGAAATGAAAGCACCAGTTGTAAAACACTGATATCCTCGATAAACTCCTTCCATTGAGACTTCGCCTCCTTCTCCTTTAAATCTGAAACTGACAAAAAGGGATAAAACATTGGAGAGGCAGAGGAAACCTAATATGAGATGTCTCACATTAAGTTTGTTCAGTGTTTTAACTGCTGAATCCGAATCACATGTCTACTCCAGTTGTACTGTGTAATTTCACCAAAGCAAGTGGTAAAATAATGGTAAAAATTGAATACTTCTAATTGTGAATAGTTTAGGAAAATATGTGTAACCACAGGTGGTAGTACAGTATTTGAACCATTGACCTGAGCCTGTGCAGGCAACAGAGACCTCAGCCGTCAGATTCACTCACTGCAAATCACAAATCATACAAGGTGAAATACCTTCATTGGGCAAGCTGGCAGTCTCAGTTCAGTAGGCAGCAAGATAGATATGAACCTTAACTTAGCACTAAAATGCCACATTTTTAAATGTGGAGACACAAAAATGGCCTGTGAATGTCTTTGTTTAATTTCTGTTATTTAACATGTAATGCATTTCATTATATTCTATCACAGGCCTTTTAGTTATAGGTTTAGTGACTCAGTAGATGCATGTCGCTGTGACCTGTATCTGTATTTGGATACCTGACTTGGTTTCAAAGGTGACTGATTTTGAATGTGTAGCTAATTTGAGATTTTATTCATGAGATTCATAGGCAGCAACATCATTGCAACTTTCAAGGCCCAGAAAGATAGTAAATAAATTGTTAAAATAGTCCGTGTGACTACAGTGGCATAACCTTAATGTTACAAAGCGATGAGAATACTTTTTACAAAAAATGAACAAAAATAACAGCTTAATTTAACAATTTTTTCTTTTCCGTGTCAGTCTCCTACACTGATAATACATTTCTGGCCCTTGAATATTGCTGCCTGCCTATGGCTGGTTCAGAAAGCTCTCGGCTTTCATCAGAAAGATCTTAATTTGTGTTCCAAAGATGTACAAAGGTTTTATGGGTTTGGAATGGCATGAGGGTGAGTAATTGATGAAAGAAATTTCATTTTTATTCAACTATCCCTTTAGTAATTAATTTCTGACAACAGTAGTTGGTAAGTGCAACTTGAAGTTCAGAAGTGAGCCGAGATCTTTTGTTGTACCTGGGATGTGTGCAAGAGCACAAAATCCATTACTCATTCGAGAAGACCCCATCACTTCGTTTTCTGACAACTGATGTTTTATTTGTCAAAAACAAGATGTTTGTGAATCAATTCGGCATCATTTTGTTCCTATATCAGCACATCACAAATCTTGAGTGCTACATTTAGATTTAGATTGAGACATTTAGCTAAAGGTGTTATCTTTATATTCAAGATGCAGACTTTGGATGTACATAATTTTTGTACAGGGAAAAAATGAAGCAATGTTACTTCAGAAATTGCTTTACTGTAAGTTACCTTATCACACACAGTGAGAAATTATAGTTAAAGAATAAAAAAAATTACTGTTAAATGAATGAATTATCATTATAAATTATAATATATAAATACTGAATGTTTTACTAGTAAAAATCAATATATTACTGTGAAAATCTGTAAAAAGATGTTTCCAGAAATCCTCGTGACTCATGTGCACTTTGATTTTTTTTTTTATTCAGTCTTAATCAGTTATATACATTGTTTTGTGACATTTTATGTTTAGTTTATGTCTATATTAAGTTTGTGTTTGAACTGTTACCCTGATGGTATTTTGTGGGTAATGTACTATACTATACATTGCCTATGGGCTGCAGTTAATTAGGTAATTGTTAATAAACAATACCAATCTTAATGAACTTTAATTCATCATGTGGCTTTCTATTTTACAACCTGTCTTTTATGGTGCTTATCAGCATCACAAAGCAGATTGTACTACTTCAAATAAATTGGAAATAAAATGTAAATGTACAATGTATAAAATTTAAAATGTATATAAATGTATAAAAAAATAAAATGTATACAGCTATCCCCAAATGCCTTTCATTAATCATGAAATAGTTGTATTGAATGTAAACGTGGCACTTGAAAACTTCAGTGTAATATGACAACAAGCAAATATTTTTTCTTAATTTGGACATTCTGACCCGCATTATTACCTTTCAGCAATTAAAATACGCGGTTGGATTTATTTTATTCACTAAAAATATAGCCTATGTAGGCTGCTACGTGCATACTTGCAACATTTGGTGTTATAACAGACAAGCAAATTGATCATAAAAACATTTGGGCCTAATATTTAACCAGAAACGTATGAACTTTGAAAGCTGCGTTTTAAATCTTTTTCAAATCATTTTTACAGTACTCGTATTTGCGTGAACCTACCGTTATCTGTGCCCATTAAGTGGTCAATAGTGATCCCTGTAGCAAACGATTCCTCTTCCTCACATTCTCTGACTGAAGCCTCGCGTTTGTCTTGTTTGCACTTTGATCGGTTCAATTGGTCAAACAGATAGCGATTCGCTTTCTAATCGCGCCATTGTAAATGTGTGTGGCAGTTTAAGGACTGGCTATCTAGTGTTTATCTCCAGCCACATGCATCTGCGTCCGTATGACTCAAAGTCACCATTTAATTACCATTTGCTTGAACGTGAATCGTTCATAAACGATGAAGAAAGCATCTTGATTCTTTGCTGTCACACCTAGGTAACGAAAAGGCCACAGCCGCCTACTCTTGTGCCCGAATAATAGCCATAGACAGTAAAAGTAGCCTATGGTCGTGAGATTTATGTTAAATAGCAGCGATATGAGACACGTCAGACAGCTGTAGGAGGAGCGACTCGACTGTGTGCGCGCGCGTATTGACAGCGCTCTCTTCCCCTGCATTTGAAAAATGTTGCTTACTTCCTAAATAGTGCTTTAGTGTTTGCGATTTGTTGCTTCATGAAGAGCTCACAGGAAATTTGTTGTAATCTCTCTTTTGTAACGGGTCCAACCCTGATTTTTTTCTCTTTTTGTATTAGTTTATGTTAATATTTAATTAACATATAGATCAATGTTTTGGGTAGCTATCAATATCTTTCATCAGTATCTTGCATGTAGGCTATCTAATATCTTTCATTTGTCTACTGTCGTGTTCCATTCAGGGGTGAAAAAAAGAATAGCCTAATTAAATATGACAACTCTTTTTTTTTTTTTTTTTAGAGACAGATTGAGACCCAAAGTAACATTGAATTAAAATTTGTGAAGCAACCTGTCTAATCCCAATTGTATCAATTTACATATGTGAAACATTAAGAACCTTGGTGGCTACCTTATAATTTATCTAGCTTATGCTTAACGAGATACTAGGAAATAGCTATTCATAAAGCAAGTCAAGTATTTTAACTCTGCTTAACCCCTTGTGTCAATCAAAGGTTGGCAATCTAGGCTATATTTAGCCCTGAATTTAGGATATAGATAATTGGATTAGACAATTTTCATCTTTTCATTGAACATTTAAATATAAACCAACATTTAGATTACATCTTAACATTGATATAGGTTACATTTAACATCTGGCTAACGAAATAATGAATTGTTTAGACCAATTTTGTGTCAGTTTAACTGATTCTGCAAAAAAAAGGGTCTGACTCAAAAGTTGTTCACTAATTAGTTATTGTTGCTAGATTTGCCTTTTTACATATCATGAAAAAACAAAATCAGTAAGAAATACAAAAATGTCACCACAAAATCAAATGGACAATCCTTGTTTCTTATGGAATATTGCAGTAGGCTATTTTAAGTATTTATCCAATGCACATCATAATTTTTGTAATCATTGATCTAAATGTGTCCCCTTCCTATTGCAGTAATATCTCTTCTCTGATGTGTTTACTGGCGAGAGGGAGGAATCGACCTGTCACTCACATGACATCACAGCTAGCCAATCACAACCATCAAATCAATTCCCAATGGTCAAAATCATGTCTTCCCCTACTTTTTTCATGTTCAAGAAGCCATTTCATTCGGATATACGTCACAACAGGGAGTCATCTGAGGTATGACCCATTTCATATCCACTACAAAGATATCTCCAACCAAGTGAATTTACAAGTGTTGTCTTGTCTGTTGTCCTGTTGTCTTTATCCATCTTATCATATTTATTTATTCACATAAACAACAGGTATTATTTATTGACTTTACTATATATCATATTTTATCATGAATTACTCTTGCATCTGGACCTGTGATTTCACAACTCACCATCTGTTCCATCAGTGAGCCGCAGGGCCTCACCAGATTAGGACCGAGTGTAACCCCTCCGGTACTTACTCCGCTCCAAGCTGTACTTGCTGGCGTCCGTTTCTCAGGCAAATTTCTATTATTTTTGTTTGAAATCAGTCATAGATTATGATAAACAATCTGGATTACCAAACATGACAACTTAGTGTTCACAAAGCTTTACTCATTACTCAGCAGCACATGCTTTCAGTGCAGGTTCTTCGTATGTGCAAAGGCAAAGTGTGTTTCACAACTGATCCTTGGTGAGGCTTATTCTTGTGACTATTACTGTGATGTGATTTGATTTGATTTATTCAACAATGATTTTAAACTAATAAATCGTGCCAAAGGAAATTCATACACATTTCAAGACATATTGTTCATAAAATATACAAAAAAAAGCCACATGCAGGCTTATTTCTATTGTGGTCCTCTATATGCATAAAATAGACAACAGTTTGAGTGGGAATAAAATCAAAAAGAAAAAGATCACACCTTAATAAATTCATATTGGGTCTTAATTGTAAAGAAATTTTAACTTCTCTTCTAAATGTAATTTTTTAAATAATCTGGCAATTCATTCTAAGCAACTCGAGTGCAACACGAATTCCTCCCTAACTGGTACAAATATATATTATTTATCCTTGCCCTTGTAGAAATACCATGAACATCTCTCACAAAAAGATAGTCATACAATTTAGGAACAGTTCTCTGAATTATTTTTACACATCATCATTTTTATAAAAATTACCCTTTTAACAACTTTTAAAATTAACCCAATTCCCTAAAATGATTATTTTTTCATGTTGTGTATGAGTATGTAACCCCAGAATGCATCTACACAACCTGTTCTGAGCAGTCTGTAATTTATTTTTAACTCGTTTCTTAGAGCCACTACCAGAAAGTTACTGCATATAGTCAAAATGTGGTTGCACTAATGCATCAGCTAATATTATCAAGCTTTGTTTATCTAAATAAGCAGCCTGTCTTGCTAAAAAAGTTATTCGATTACTTCTTATTTTCAATAGAGCAACTGCCGCGCTATCTCCTGTCAAGAATACATCCCAAAATTTCACTTCTTGCTAAAAGTAAGATTCACATCTCACACCTTAATAATT